CATTCTTGAGGGAATCCTCACAGTGGTCGTTTCCCTCATCGCATATTTCATTGCGCCGACTTGGTCTCACGAGGCAAATTTGTGCGTTTTATCCTTCCGTCTTCGTCACCCCAAAAATTTCAACTTTTGCAGCTATCTGAAGCAGAAACACGCGCCTGCTAGATAGATTACGAGCAGACTCCGATGCAGGAACTGACCAAGCCTTCAAATGGTCGTCAGTTCTAGATGCTTTCAGCGACCACTTAGTCTGGGCATATGCATTCCTTTTCCATGGATTTTCTTTTGTGCTGTACTCGCTCAGCCTTTTCCTGGTACGTTCGTCGTCGAAGGAAATTGCGAATGGTGTCTGACTGCCAAGTCTAGCCTACAATCATCGCAGGACTTGGATTTCAGACATGGCAGGCACAACTGTAAGTCCCTTCGAGCTCAAAGGATCCAATGTTGAAGTGGGTCCCACCATAAGGATGACCGTCCCCCCGAATGTGCTCACAAGCGTTCCAATATGGACCACGGTATATTTCTCAAGCAAGTAACAATGTAAGAGCGCCCTTCATTATAGAAGCTGCAATTGTATCCATCATTTGTGAGAGCAATTTGTGTCACGCACTTCAATTATCTCATGAACCTCCAGGGTATACCCATATCTCAAGTATCATATGCCAAAGGGAATCCTAACTACGACGAGTTAGAAGCCTCGCGATGGCAAGCAGCACAAGTCTCAACTCTCAGTGTTTGCAACTTCGTAGGTCGTATTCTTATTGGTATATTCCTTTGTCATTCTACCTCACCATCTTATGTAAGGACAAAGTGTTTGATCTCGCGGGACCAATCCGCATCGACTCCATGTGCGCGCTCCACCCAAGCCCCTTTGATGAAGTTTCACTCTGACTCAGGCGTGTACTCCGCTCAGGCTTGCGAGCCCCTTTCATGCCTTGGTGCGTTGTGTCCCAGTTCAACTTCTTCGTCATGGCGTCCTGTTACTTCTTCCACGGTATTGTCGGCACCCAGAATGTGAATCTCTATGTTCTTAGAGGACGGTTGCAGAGATCTTCCTGTCTCCGTTTTCACTTTTGGTGGTAGAACTGCGCCGCCAGATGATGGCGTTTTCAGACGCGATTCAATACTGAACTTCGGTTTACAGATCATCACGTCAGTCACCTGCATTAACAATGGAGATTAGAGTGTTCTTTGAGCTTGATCGAACGCTGGGCAATGGTGAAATCATCGGAAAACTTCAAACATCGTGGGATGAGTTGCTCAATCATGGAGATGAACAATTCGGTGAGCAACCTACTTATCATTCCTGCACATCTACTCACATCGAGTAGAACTGTCCTTCCCACCCGTTCGTGGTGTCAATCCTTCGCTCACGCTGAAGGCCACTGTTGTACATGCTAGCGATAATCAGGACGGCGCACTACTTGACGTGAGTGACCCCAGACTTTGTCCTGTTAGTTGTGCTGACAGATCACGAACTGTAGTCCCTCGTAGACTGCGAGACTGTCCGAGAAACAGATGCGGGCCATGTATGATTCACCAGATACATGAGACACGAGTGGGTCTGTCAGCTGAATGACGGATGACCTCGTCCGTCCGTACGTTCACAAAATTCTCGTTGTCATTGAGCCACTCCTCGTTGATGAGGATTACTACGCTCGTGTGGAGGGTCGCGAGATCATATCCAACCTTTCCAAAGCTGCCGGTTTTGCACACATGATTTTCACTATGAGTCCTGACATTGACCATGCTGACGAGTACGTCCGTAATACCACCGCTCGCGCATTCTCTGTCGTTGTTCCGCGCTCGGTATCCCTTCCCTCCTGCCGTTCCTCAAGGCCGTGTGTCGCAGTAAGAAGTCGTGGCAGGCGCGTCATACCCGTATCCGTATCGTGCAACAGATCACTATCATGATGGGCTGCGCCGTCTTACCCCATCTTCGTAATCTCGTGGCCTGCATTGCGCACGGTCTGCAGGATGAGCAGCAGAAAGTGCGGACCATGACTGCACTCGGGCTTGCCGCCCTTGCTGAAGCAGCCACGCCCTACGGTATCGAGTCCTTCGATGAGGTACTGAAGCCTCTCTGGCTTGGTATTCGTCTGCATCGTGGCAAGGGTCTTGCTGCCTTCTTGAAGGCTATCGGTTTCATTATTCCCCTCATGGACCCCGAGTACGCATCCTACTACACCAAGGAAGTCACAGTCATTCTCATTTGTGAATTTCAAACCTCTGATGAAGAGAGGAAGAAGATCGTCCTCAAGGTGGTCATCCCCGAGTCCAAAGGGCAACACAGAGGAGAACATGGCGGACACACAGGATCACATCGATGCAACCGTGACACAGCTCTTCTACACGAGCAACATGTTCCACGACTTGACCTACCGTTGAGTTTTACTTTGGATGTGGCGGTGAGGAATCAGATGCTGTGATTACGAATGCACAGGACGGCAGTGGGTTTAACAATGCCAATTTTATGACGCCCCCCGATGCGCAGAATGGGTGGGTTGTTGTTTTTCCTTATCCTGATCGATACTTATGTTTCATGAACCAGTCGATGCCGTATGTACCTCTGGAACACGGCAAACCCTTACCGCAATGGTGACATGGAAGCTGACATCGTCATCCACGAGCTTGCGCATAGTCTCAGCACGCGCTTGACGGGTGGCCCCAAGAACAGTGGGTGCCTTGGCTGGGGTGAGAGTGTTGGGGTGGCAAGTTTATTCTCCCAAATTTGTCTCCACCTGACGTGCAATAAGCAGCGCAAGTACATACTTCATGTCTGCGCTTCATTGGGGAGATCTCTTACGACACTTCCACAGTTAATACAACAAGCATATTCGAGCGCACAGGCCCAGGTGGATTAACGACGGATCCAACAAGAGCTGGTCGAGATTCAGAGACGACCTGAGGCATGGGCGTTGATTGTATCTTTCCTCGAACATCCCGACACAAATGTGCAATTCTTTGGCGCACATACTGCGCAGGTTAAGATCATGTGCGACTGGTAAATGCTCTACCTTTTCCTCCTTTCAATGGTACCGATGAACTGCTATATTGCTGCAGGGATTCATTTCCTGAGGAAAACGCCGAACATCTACGAGACTTACTGCTCAAGCTCACCTCTCACTCAACATTGACGGGAAAAGGCGAAGTAGTGTGCCGCAAACTGTTTGTCACAGTGAGTTCAAGTCCTAGACTGAAGTTCGTCTAGTGATCGTTTGCAGATCACATCACTTGCACTCCAATTTGCGCCTGGTTCTCCCTCAAGGTGGCCAGACTGGATAGTGTCGGCAGTGAATTCTCTCTCTTCCTCTGGCATGCCTCCAGAACAACTCCTTGCCTTCCTTACCATAGTCGATGAAGAGGTCGAAACGGCCGACCTTCTAGGGCCCAGTAAGTGAGTGCGACGATTGGAATCACTCTGCATCATCACCAATCTCGTACCAGGATGCAAATGCACCAGTCTCTTCTTGACGCCTCTCCGATGGTAGTCCAAGCTGTAATAACGTCTATCACTCGACCGACTCTCATATTGCCTGAACTGCAATCTGCACTCAAGTGCTTTCAAGCATGGATATACACATTACGGGCCAAGTAATGTTCTTTTATACTCTGCTCGATTTGCAACTTAATGCCTCACACAAGTGATATCACACCCATTATTCCACTGTTGATCACGATAATGACGCCCGCACCAGACTCTGGATTTGACGAGTCGAATTTCTCAACGGCTTCTGATGTCTTGCAGGAGATTATGACGAGGTCTTCGTTGGCTGGAGGTGCGGGTACAGGCACGTTGACGGAGCCGCTTCTCATGTGGCTTGATGCCTATGGAGATCGTGGTGAGCCTTGTTGGTTGCAAATGCTCACTCGATATGAATACTCACTGTTATCCGATACCCAGCCGGTTCAGTCGACGGCGTGTCTCATTCACTTTGTAAATTGCTGGTCGCCCTAGGAGATCACTCCACCATGTTTTTCGCCTCCAACATCACATCGTTAAAACCCGTTCGACGTGGATGCTTGGTCTCTCCGCTAATGTCCTTGCGCTCGCCCACCAGTACGCCAACGCTGGCTCCACTAATAACGCCAAAGGCATTGTTCCCTCTGGTTCGGCGCATGACTCGCAAGATCATTCCGTGGCACGGCGGTATATCATCTACGAAGAGTCGTGGAAACACCACGCTCAAGCGCGTGCCATCCTTGGAAACCTCATCGGACCGAATGGCGAGCAGCTCACTTCCACCGACCCCTATAGCACAACTGTGTTCGTTGGTGGGTTGTCGCCTTTGGTTTCTGAAGAGACCTTGCGGGCGTTCTTCACTCCGGTCGGCGTTCTTCACTACGTGAGAGTTTCACTTTTGCGCTATTGGTGTAATGCTAATATAATGTTGTGCGTACAGGTGAAGGTGCCCGTTGGAAAACATTGCGGCTTTGTTCAAAGTAGCGGGGGACGGTTCTACTGATTTCTTATCCCCAACAGCCTCTTTACCTCATCCAACTCCCTCCAAGCGTTTTCGAGGTACCTCACGGTCTCCTCGAGTTCCCCCTCTCTCCGCAACGCCATTAACGTCAACCAACACCGGTCTTCCGCGGTGGTACGAATAGGTTCGTGCGGCAGCACGGAACCACCGTGTTGAGTGCGAAATTGGGCCGTTTGTCTGGCGGCGTTCCAAGTCGCCTGGACATTGTCAGTGTTGGAATCACTTAAATCGTAATCAATACGTACAATCGCTGAGTCGCTGACGACCAACGGCCCAGGAATGAGCAGGTGATCAAGTAGTCCTACCTAACATCAAGATCAGATAAGCTATAATTTAATACGCAATTCTTCACATTTAGAACTTACCGATTGTGTTGGAGGCTCAAAGTTGAGTTGATTGTTTTGTCCTTCAACGTTTAGTTGATTGTTTTGATCTTGAGCGCCGGCTTGATTGTTCTGCTCCATGGAGGTGTTGTAGCAGTCACGGTGAAGGAGATTATCGGTGGTGGGATTTTACATAGTAGGTCTGGAGAAACGAGAATGTTTTGCCTTTTTGGGAAAACATTTTTCTTACAACCACACCGACAATGGTCACAGCGACCCCTCTGACAGCCATAAATCACTTCAAACCAACGGCGACGTCTCTAAAGCCTTGTTCAATAAACTAGGTCCGAAAGCACAATCTCCTGCGCCCGCCAATGCCACGCCAGCCTCACCTGTGCATCATGGCTGCAGACCCTCGCATGAGTGACGGAGAGCTAGCCGCAATCAATGCAGCTGCAGTGACGCGGGAATACCGCGTCCAACCACACCTTGGTGCGTCCCAAAGCATTGCAAGACGTCGAGCACTTATTGACGAGTCCTTAAGACTACCGCACCGTTTCTGCGATCAATGGGTGAGTGGACCGCACCACTATGTCTACAACCAAGCTCACAACCAGAATTTACAAATATGGGTTGGCAAGCGCGTTAAGCGTGTTATCTTCGAGTGAGTGTTGTACATTCGGGTAATAATCGTGCCCAACTGCTGATGTCTTTTCATGAAAGAGATAAGCGTGCCGTAGGTGTCGAGTTCACCAGCGATCTGATATCTTGCCCAGATGCGGATAAGTCATCGAGCATCGTGAGGGCATCAAAGCTTGTTGTTATCTCTGCGGGCGCTTTCGGTTCGCCGGCCATTCTCGAGAGATCTGGGATCGGTGCCGATGCGGTTCTGAAGCGGTGCGGTATCGAGCAATTGGTGGACTTGCCTGGCGTTGGAGAAAATTATCGAGGTTCGCGTTCAACCATTTGTTTCATGATGTTAACTTAGAGTTATGAGATCACAATGGCGCCTTTCTTCCACACTTTGCTGCTGACGAAGCTGTTACTATGGACCCCCTCTGGCGTGGAAAGGAGAGTGCTATACAGGGTAAGCATGTTCTCGCCATATTCCAAGTCCATTTAATCGCCCAAACATTGTAGAAAACCTGGCGAAATGGAAAATCGATGCCAAGTCACTCGTTGCCCAAAAGTTGGTATGAAACCGTCATTGCTGGTGGCGTGTTAATTAGCATTTCAGTGGCAGCGATGCAAAAATCAAATGGCGTCCTGACGGCGACGAGCTGGAAGCTATGGGATCAGCTTTTCAGCCACGATGGAAAGAGTTCTTCCAGGACCGCCCAGACAAGGCTGTTGCAATATTTTGCCTTTTCGAGGGGTGCGTGCACTATACTTTGCTTTGGATAACGTGCGAATGCTCACGATAACCAGACACGCTGGAGCATCCAAGAATAATCTTCCTCCTCGCAATTACTTAGTTGCATGCTGTTATACAGTACGATTCCTCATCTACTACCCCGTGATTTGTTCTGAGTTTTGCAATAGCTGTATCCTGTGTCTGCTGGCAGTGTTCATATCAATGGCTTCTCTGAGGAGAACATCACGAGGACTATCATTTTCTACGCGAATCAGACTCTGCGGACTATCAGCTTGTGCTACAAAGACTTTCCGTCTTGGCCACCACCTGGGATTCAAGTCTCTGCTATTGACGAAGTAGGTATACTTGCAGTCGCATTTCGTCATACTGACCTGGTTGTAGGTGTCATACGACGTCATCGCTAAAGACCTGACATTGATCGGCATCGTTGGAATCGAAGATCCACTCAGGGATGGTGTTCGAGAAGCAGTCTCTGATCGCCACAAAGCTGGTGTCGCTGTGAAGATGTGCACGGGTGATAATGTGCTGACGGCGCGTTCGATCGCCACGCAGTGTGGTATATACACGGCTGGTGGTATCATCATGGAAGGACCCGTTTTCCGTCTGCTTGACGAATCACAGATGCTCGAGATCGTTCCAAGGCTTCAGGTTCTCGCCCGTCTATTCCTGTCCCTACCTCTACCCTTTCACCGCCGCGAGTATCGAAACCCGTTTCTTTTGGTAGATTCATCATGGCGCCTCAAGTATGTCTCCACCAGGTCCTGTGATACCCATTGTTTCCTCAACTACCGGCAAGCTGGAGAATGAGAACAGGCGCCCAAATTGACCCAGCAGATGACTTGAGAAACCTGGCATCTTCGGTTCTGAGGATGAGGACGGCGAATCTTCGTTTTCGGGAGATCAGCTCCTGGTGACTTATTTTCGGCTGCGGAAGGTGACTCTATCATATGGTCCCACTGGGACACCCTCGTTGAGAACGATTCAAGACCTGGGTACCGACGGAACCCACCTCGCTGAGACTCTCAGACTCTGCGATCCCGAGCGCACCCTCTTCATCATCGCCTCTAAAACCTTTACCACCCAAGAGACCATCACCAATGCCGAATCCGCTCGCGATTGGTTTTTGGCGACAGCCAAGGACAAAACACACGTTGCAAAGCACTTCGTCGCCCTCAGCATGAACACAGGCTGTCACCGCGTTTGGCATTGACAAGGCAAACATGTTCACCTTCTGGGACTGGGTTGGTGGGCGCTACAGCTTCTTTACTGCCCTCATTCGATCGTGTTCGTGCTGTGTTTGGACACCGCTTTTCCCATGCTATTATTCGTATTATTATTCGTATTGCAGGGATTGTGTACGTATCTTGTAGTAGCTACAAGCTCCACCCAAATTCCTGATGCTGGTGCCATTTTTGTCTTGGTTGGGTATTGATTTGTGTAGGCTAATCATACTTTGCGAGACATTGCATATCTCCATCGGAATTGCAGGTTACTGACAATTTCTTGTCCTTTTGCGCCATTGTTCTCTTGCTTGTATATTACTTTGTCGTAAAATAATCATATGCATGAGGTATTGCAAAAATCCATCAGAATGGTGGGTAACTTATAATTTCTTGTCCTTTGGTGCCATTTTTCTCTTGCCTGTGTATTACTTTGTCACACAATAAACATAATTGTGCAGTGTTGCATATTTTTATCAGACTTGTAGCATGCTTGCGATATTGTATCCCTTGATGTCATTTTGCTGGTGTGTGTATAATATATTATCATACGGTATATTATCATAAAATGCCATAAAATTTTGGTCCGACTTTGCAAAGTTCATCTATAAAAAGCACCTCCTCCCCGATTTCGTGATGAACCATGACATCACGTCAATATCGGTGAAAGCCCTCTACGCCCCGCCGCTAAACACGTTCTCGCACATTGACAACTCCAACAGTTCGAACCACGAGCTACTAAGGTACACAAACTTGCGTTATCTATCTGCGCAGTCTCTATCTCAGGCTGCGGTAAATCGGCAAGGTGTACAAGTTGTGTAGAAAAAAGTTTCTGTTGATCATTTCGTGAAGGTTCGACAGTGTACTCCATTGTCACGCGAAGACTCGAAAAATGAGATGATGTCTTCTTCTCGTGTCACTCAATCAGCGCGATATCCCATTGTCAAGCAGCCTCGTCACACTCGTGTATGGTTGGCCTGGGACGCCTTGGTCCGTTTGTCCTCATTTCAGTCTCATTTGATTTAGATATAACTTATGCGTGCTCGACTGACAGCTGCAGACATGACCATCTCATCTTTCCTTCGTGTTTCCACCTCGTCGTGGATAATTTCTACAGAGAGGTGGTAGATTAGGGCACAAGCCTTCGTACGCTCGTTCCCATTCCCAGCACCTCTTCTCCGTAAGTCTTTTTTTGCTTATTCGTTCTCGAACACCAATCCTTATTGCACGGTACAGCTCACTCGAACCAAATCAACATGCCACTTAACCTAACATTGCTGATACAATGTCCATAGCTCCATAATCAACTACGTCTCCCTCCAAAACGCCCTTCACATATAATGCCATGTTAGGCACCTTTATGTCCGACCATCTCATACAATTCTGTACGCAACTCTTCAGTATGCACCACGAATTTTGGGCGAAAAGGCGAGCAGCATCTCGAAGTACACCAAACCTGGTCAGATCTCACTTGTATTGGACCCTCTGTTGCATGTTCAATTCATTTTCTTAGGTCAACCGGTCAAGATGACGGGCACCAAGTTACAAAGTCATTGTGTATCTATTCCAGACCACATTGTCCTCGTGACGTGTTTTCAACACGGGCAACCCCTGCTATGTGCGATGCTTTTGCAAAGTATACCAGTGTGTTTACGTTTTATCTGTTTGTAGTCAGCCATCATAACTAAGCGCACATTAGCATAGTGAGGCGTTGTTTAACATAAGGCATGCAGCCGACTTGTCTTTCATTCGTGCGAATACGGCGAAGGTTTCACCCTCGACTATCTCAAGAACGCACAGTTTTGTGGCGACCTATTCCAGGAGAACTCAGGCACAGGTGCTGTTTCATCTGTGTTCACAGATTTTCATACTAGTCATGCGGAACCGTTGAAGGTATTGGAAAGTTCAAGGAGAGTGGTGCATTCTCGCCCTACTTCACGCTGGCTGATCCTGCGACTTTAGAACACCCGTCCTGTATGATGGATGCTGACGGGCATGATCAAATTTTCGGTAGGTTGGCGTGAACTGCTGTCCTGGAAGAAGGCCGATCATTGTTCCGCAGCCGCGTCGTGGTCCCTCTATATCGAGGTACTCGCGCCTCTTATTCACTCACTAAATTTTTGCTCCTCGCGCAGGTCCGCGAATTTTAGGACGCCCCTTTGCTGTTTTTCCTGTACGACGATTTTCATGTCAACATTTGGCTTGTGGTAAAGTGCATGAGTGCTCTTCTGAGCGCAGTCTAAGTGTTGGGGATTCCGTCAGGAAATCGAGCTATACATGTAATACATGCGTTCTTTGACTTCCTGACGGATGGTTTGCACATGTTGGATGTCAACGAAAAACTCGGCGAGCCGGTGCGTGCATGGCCTTGTTCGTGAAGGGTATCTGCTTAACCCAGCGCAGATCGTGATCATTGCCAATAGCAGCTCGGAAATCCAGAGCTGGCAATTCTTGTCGGTAGAATAAGGACGAGGATCATCCAGGACCTCATTGATAGAGGCTGAATGATGATCCAGCTACAAGAGTTTCAGTGCGCCTGGATTTGGGATGTCGGCCGAACTGATCTGCGTGCTCTGGGACTAAAGACTGTCAGGGATACGCCTAGTATTGAGTAGATAAACTCGTGAGTCGTGATATTGGAACCGCCAAGGAGGCTTTGTCCAAGTGTTCCGTAACTGATATCGGCAAGCATCTGTGTAACGTCCTCGGAAAACGCTTGCCGTCACGATATACGACAACAACCCTGGCTACTAGTATGCCCCGGTAGATGGCGAGGGTATGCGGGCTACGGGCACTGGGCAAGGCCTATTGGGTTTTGATATGCGTGAGTGCGTCTGTTGCACCCCTGCAAATGTGAAACTGGGTGAATAATCATCATAGATCGAAGTTCTCCAAAGTACCAGAAGGACTAGCGGAGTGTGTCCGGCACATTATTTGAGGCCTTCAATAAAATTATGTCACGGGGCACGAGATGGCATCTGTTTCGTGTGCAAGCGCATGCGGCTGCCACCTACACACTACCTGTGTATAAAAGCCAACGTATTTGTGTTTAATTCAGACAACACTATCAAGTTTCAGCCATGAAATTCACTTCACTCATCACTATGATCACTGCCGCAGCGATAGCTGGCGTAGCTATCGCATCCGACGACCTGACGATAACGCCCGGTGGCCTACCCTGCACCAAACCTGGTAAGCACTTTTGTGGTCTACGTGCAGACCTTACACCACATGGTTATGAACTATCCACCTATCCAGTGGGGTGCTCAACCATCAAAGGTTACAACAATGGCAACGATTTCGGGTATTTCTGTCAAAATGGCAAGATTATATACTACGAGGCATGCTTGGGAAACACTAAATGCCATATATTCAATGGGAATAACTTCAAATGTTCTTGAGCGCCGAGCCTTGTCGAAGGCTTGTTCAACTGCACAGTGTCTGAGTGAGCCTGTCCTTTTCCGTTGTCTCCCGAATCTAAGTGCTGATGTGCTTGCTTTCACCAGTGCATGGAACAATTTGTATGATACGTGCAGGAGGGCTGTCAATGGGGTTCCGGAGTCAATTGAATGCGATCATGATCATCGATCATTGTCCGTATCAAGAAGATACTTAGGCTTTGTAAGGTCAAATTTGTAAAACGCAACTTTGTATGGCTTTCCACGTGACGCTCTCTGATCTGAAGTTAAACAAGGCTCTACGGTTAAAGTCAAATACAAATAGACCGTTGTCAAAGCCCTCAATGCTGTGTCTACTCCGGGTCTGACACCTCCTTTCGGACGGAACCTAAGTCCCTCCAGAAAGCGGAAACTTTCGTGAATTGTTCACCCACCACAACCACTGGCCTGACTTAGTATGCTTTAGTAGGTAACGAGGTCATGCGGGCACCGGTAGACCTATTGAGCTTTTATATGCGTATGGTCGGTGAGTGCGTCTGCCGCATCACTGAAAATCCGAAAATTGGGTGAATAAATCATCATAATAGACGGAACTCATAGAGGGCATCCGGCACATTATTTGAGGCCTTCAAAGGCCTTTTATTTCACAGAGTGAGCTGGCATCTTTTTCGTGCTGTGTGGTTACACTACTTGTGTATAAAAGCCAACGTACCAGCTTCTGAATTAGAAAACAATCAAGTTTCAGCGATGAAATTCACTTCACTCACCACTATGATCATATCTGCCGCAGCGATGGCTGGCGTAGCCATCGCATCCGACGACCTGGTGATAACACCCCAGAACTTACCCTGCGACCAACCTGGTGAGCACTTTCGCGGTCGTGCAGACCTTAGACCACATGCTTATGACTTTACACAATGAAGTGGGGTGCTCGACGGGCCTGAAAGGTTTCAACAATGGCAACGATTTCGGGTATTTCTGTGGAACTACAGGCAAAATTATATACTATGAGGCATGCTCGTGCAAAAATTGCTGTGAGGTGGATGGGAGTAACTTCAGGTGTTGATGAGCTCGAGGCTTGCTCCTGAGTGAGCCAGTCCTTTCTTGTGGTCTTCTGAGCCCGAGTGCTGATATGCTATGGCGGCGACAGGCGTCGAAAGACAGTGACGGTTCATTTGCGATCACAGAATCTTCGGAATGCATCATGATAGACCTGTACAATTGCAATGAGGCGCCCATATTGAATTGAAATCTTCAGTGAAACTCACCCTGAACATGACAAGCAACATTCAATATCCTTCTGCCCGCAATTAATTCGTCAAAGGGACTCGAAGGTTGAAGCGCCTTATTCAGTTGGTGGTACACACATGAGATGCCTCTAAATTACAAGTGGAAATGCAGAAGGCGCGATTTTTTTTTGAAGTCACGGCCTGTCCAGCTGTTCCCAAATTGTTTTCGTGAATGATGCATTGATGAATGTCCAGAACCATAATGACAAGCGCTAGGCAGTACTAGGCGCGCTATGCATGCCAATTCCGATCCTGGACAACTGCGTGGGAAATATAGGTTTAGGGCAGCTTTGACTTGGCTTTCATGACCAGATATGTCAGTTTGAACCACTAGCTAGGGTTCTAGGTCACCGCGCGTGTTGCGCGCGTGCACGTATTGATCAAGTCTAATTGAGAGTACGACCTCATGATGATGTACATATATTAAGTCGTACTCTCAGTTAGACTGGTTAAAATTATACGACCACAAGCTCCAGCGTTGCTCTGCGTCCTACCATTAATTCCTTTATGTCGAAATCAAAATACGTCTAGCATGCAGTCAACAATCGTACGTGAACTCCACTCAATCCAAGACCGGCACAAACACCCATCTAAGCGCCCTACGCAAGTGCACTTCCGAACCAACAAATTGCAATCATTGGGCCGGTCTTTCATCAGCATGGTGACGATATTGAATGCATCATGCCTTTTGCACATGAGTTCCTGGACGAAAACGGGTTCTCTCCTGAAAACGTTGGCTCACAAAAAGTAACTGCCTCACCTTCTCCATCTTTGGATATCAACACTACTCACACCATGAAATCCCTGGTGCTTCATTTTCTACTCCGGCTCTGAAGTTTCCTCCAAACGAGCTTCCGGACGAAACCCCAGTTCCCTTGGAAAGCGGAAACTTGCATAATGCAGTTACCTCACCTTCCCAATATACCACCGCAACGAGGTCATGCAGGCACCGGGCAGACCTATCAGATCTCGTCACAAGCATGTCGCATTCCTTCCGCAATTCGCTTGGTTATCGAGTTTTGATATGTTATGGTCGGTGAGTGCGTCTGCCGCATCAATCAATGCAAATGTAATTGGGTGAATGATTATCTTCATACACCGAACTCGCGGAGTGTGCCCGGCACATTATTTGAGGCCTTCAAAGGCCTTCAAGAAAACCATTTCACAGAGCGCGAGCCGGCATCTCTTTCGGATGCAATCGCGTGCAGGTGTGGCCACCCCCTACGCTGCTTGTGTATAAAAGCCAACTTACCAGCTTCAGAAACACCATCAAGTTTCAGCGATGAAATTCACTTCACTCAACACCATGGTCATATCTGCCGCAGTGATGGCTGGCGTAGCTATCGCATCCGATGATCTAGTGTTAACACCCCAGAACATGCCCTGCTACAAACCTGGTGAGCGTTTTGCACTTTTCGGCCTAGGAGACCACATGCTAATAGTTATCCGCCGATGAAGTGGGGTGTTCAACGGGCCTCAAAGGTTACAACAACGGCGACGATTTTGGGTATTTCTGTGTCAATGGTAAAATTGCCACCTATGGACCATGCTCGTGCAAACATTGCTGCACATACGACCAGTATAACTTCAGTTGTTGATGGGCCTCGAGGCTTGCTCAAATCCACAATGCCTGAGTGAGCCTGTCTCTTCTCATTGTTTTCCGAGTCCGAATGCTGATGTACTAGTGTAAGGGACAGTTAGCATGATACGTGCGGAAGGGCGGGAATGAGTGCTGTCAATAATATGGTCGTATCTCGTCGTCCAAGGAATCGTAGGCATTGTAACGTCAAATAATACACGCGATTGACCAGGGCCTCTCTCGATATCGATAATTCACTTGCTAGATGTTCGGAGCACTGCTTTGTATAGCACTTCTAGTCTTTTCCGACCTCTCAGGAGTACTCCGACACATTTACACATTCAGCTCTCTGGGTGTTGGTCAGACACTCATGGGAAGGAAAATACACTGCAGTCACCTATAACCTCGTTCACCTCATTGGATGAGCCGTAGGATATGCCGGACATCGGCCTCTGATTGAATGCTGTATATCCAGCTTTTATCCGCGTCCGAGTCTGCCCACAACGAAGATATATACAATTGGTTTGAGGTCTCTTGGCATGGATCGCACTCGACTAGGGTGTCATTGATATATAATATATGGCGTGGGTACGTCAAGGGCTCCCTCATAGTCCCTAACCTCATGTTGATCATCAGACTTGACAGATAAACGAGGAGGTACAGATCATCCGCTTGATGTTTGAAGGTTCGGATCTGTGCATTAGGTGCTTTGTGTTTGTTCAATCCTCTACTCTACTACGTGACCAGTTCCAGTAGGCAGCCACGGTATGTCTTGATTGTATTTGCCCATGGCGGCAGCGCAACAATTTCATCTGTTTAACGGTATCCTCTTGATTGAGGGGAAATGTTGAACACAAGAGCCGTCATCAACAACGGGATGCCGGGAAGACTGAGTGTAACGGATTACCACTAATCAGCTGCAGTTGTTTTGCTCCAGCAGCAAGATGAACGTTGTGCTAGCGAACGTCGCTTGGCAGGGCCCTTCGGGCCATCCATACAGCAAGATGAGTTTGGACGATAAATATTAGTAGGGTCCAGGGTCACCGGTGCTCTAACGTACAATGTATCATACGGTGCTAAGCTTTGCCCTGACATGCATCACGCGGTACAAAACACTATGTCAGACTCTACGGCCGGTTAAAACCATAGGACCACAAAGCCCAGCTCAGCGCCGCATCCCCCCATGAATTCATTTATGTATGTGGAAATCGAAATACATCTGCATGCACAAACAACTCCGCTCAATCCAAGACAGGCACAAACACCCATCCAAACGCCCTAACCTCATTCCCCTTCGTCCCCAAATACCTCTCCGTCTCATACAGCCAATTCACACTCCCAGCAATACAATCCCGCAATCCCCTCACATACCGCCTCGTATCATCATTCATCACAGCTGGATCCACACACGCAGCGAACAAACGCTCAGTAGCCAAGAACGCATCCGCGCTCTGCTTCACGAGCGTGCCCACATATGTAAGCGCACTCCCGAATGAACAATTCCGGTCCTTCATTAGGACGGGGACGATATTGAGTCGTGAACTTGGAGTCATGCCTTTTGCGCATGAAACAGCATCCTAGATGAATGGAATAGACGTCAAGGTATAGTCTGATGCAAAGCACGCGAAAAAAACGTACCTCAGACCACGCTATAAGATCACAAGCCTGGTCTGTCAACTTATTCAATATAGGATGCGAGGATGCTCGTTCAGAGAGGTTTAATCCCCCTGCATATTCGATCAAGTGAAACACCATCCTCAGACCTGATGCGTTTCTTCGAAGGTCGACATAAGTCTCGAGATCTGGGATGCACGTCGAATCGAGCGAATTTAAACGCTGCCTTGCATCGCGATATGCGCGCATGGATCGGTGAAAACGCATGTACCATGCCGGGCTTTTGTATGCGGCGCGACTGAGTCGGTCGGATATCCTTCAAGCGCGTTGTGTCAGCCAAATCAAACACCAGAGACATTTCGAACTCACAGGTCGAAAACTTCATTCTCATCACCATCACCACAACCAAACCCATCGTGACCCCGTTCCCGCTCTTGCTCAAACACCAACAAACTCAAAAAATCTACCGCCAACCTCAACTGAGTCAAGTCCGCTCCCGGATAACACAGCGCAGCCCACAACCCAACCTTGATCCCTTTCCACTCGACACCCAAATTTAATCCTGCATCGCGCAACCATGCCTCGCTCGCTTGAGACACAGACCTACAATGCCGATTTGCGCGTAGTTCAAAGGGCGTGCATGAAGAGAGGAGGTCGGGGAGCTGGACGCTCACTGTGTGTGACTCGGAACATGCCGACGGAGTTGATGATGATGATGACATCGCGTTGTGGATCCTTGTTGAACGATAGGATGAAGCACCGATGAATCAATTATCAGGATGACCGCGACTCTGATATTGAAAATGAGCGACGGGTACGGGGATACGACGTAATGATCCGACCTGAACGCTTTTTTATTAGACGAACAATAAGCACGGTGTCCGTTCGCCGTCATGGCCGCCATCAGGCACTGAGGTGACTATTAGGTATAGAATGTATATGAGAAGACTATTGTTCTCCCCCTGGAAGACAGCAAGCTTACACGCTCACAGGTACTCCATGGCCGAACCTCACAAACTCGAGTTTAAATACGTCAAAGCTACGTGATCGATGCAGTTGCAGCACGTGTGTGCTTGGCAGCCATCTTTCGAACACGTTCAGATCTTCCGCTAACTTTAAGTACCAAGGCCCTTGCAGGAATGTGCCAAGGTCGGTGTTATCTAATTCATCAATCGTTTGGTATAGTCCAAGCCTTCTACGGACTCGCACAGTGTTTTCATCTAGGAACATCATGGAGCTGCATACGTTAAGCTTTCCATAGGGAGGGCATCGTTTGATTATGAATAAGGGACGAGAAGAAATCTGAAGGAGACGGCAATAAATACTGCGTCAAGTCAACAAAGGTATCGCAACAAAAAAAAAAAAGCAATGACAAAGATGGAAAGCCCGAGGACATCCACGAAAGCGGCTAGCAGCAGAAACACGACTTGCCACCTCCATGTACCCCGGTATCTACCTGCATTGCTACTGGTTGTGGTTGCTGTTGCGTATTGGTCTGCTGTGTATTGGGCTGTGTATTGGGCTGTGTATTGGGGTCTTGTGGATCATCATCATCGGAATATTCACCACGTAAAATGTCTGAATCATCATCGGGAGGAGCACCCGCTGCAGCATTACGCTGTATATATATATATATATGCATGAGACAACCAAGACAATGATGAGAATAGATCAAGCGCACCTTTCGACCCTGCGCGAAAGGAACTTCAATGACGGGTGGTGCTGCATGGTCGGGTCTCCAGGTGAATAGGTGTCGTACGTGGGCTGTGAAGGTCGTGGGAGTAGCGGCAGGTGGTAGGGCGGTGGGCGGTGTTGGTGTAGGTGCAGGTGCAGGTGCAGGTGCAGGTGCAGGTGGTGGAACTGGATGAGAATTCCTCGTCATAGCGAGCCTGAGTTTCTTGAAGCGCCCGGGGCGCTGCTGAGGTCGTGGTCTGGAAGTTTGAGGATGCTGTAATGAATGACATGAGAGAGAGAAATGAAGGATACACTAATGCACCCACACCATACATGCCCCGGAAGAAATCAGGTTCTGCATCATAGCCATCTTCATCTTGCCCCGGAATCTCTGCCTGCATAACATAGGTCAGTAGCGAAAAATTTGAGGAAAGGAGTACATGCGCTAAGAATACGGTCATCATGAGCAGCGAGCGCGCTACATTGTTCCTTGAAGTCTGAGTGAAATGGGGGTGAGTATGACAGCGTTTAGTGTCATCACTGAAAACTTGCCGTTGGACCAATCGAGGCAGCTGGCCTTCTCAGTTTCGTCGATCGCGTCCATCATGTGTTGGTGTGATTCGAGAGCTTCTTCGACTTTACCTGCCGAAAGGAAAGCCTGACAACGTTTCTGATGTACAGTGAGCCAGAAGGACTCGAGATCCCAGCCGAAGAGCTGGACAAAACACTCAGTTATGAAGAAAAAATCGGATGCATCATGTCAACATACCACGATCAAGTCCTCGTATAGTTCATCGATGATTTTCGATGGGAAAGCACTGGAGTCGACGGCGGCGGCGAAGTGGACAATGGCTTCGTCGTGACGCGCGCCATCCAAGGCCTTGGTTCCGAGCTGAACGCGTAGATATGCCTAATGTGCGAGTTGCGTAGATCAGTAGCGATAACCGATCATAGCCGCATGATACTTACTTCCACGACGCGACACGCGAGGGTATCAGCATTCGGACGAGCAGCAGCTAGCTCTTTGATGAGCAGTATCGCTTCGTCATGTTGATCTGCATTGAAAAGGGCAATGGCCTAAAATGCTGAATGAAACAGAGAACACGCGAGGTGAACTTAACCTACCTTGATCAAGAGAAGAAAATGAATGGTTTCTGAATCTTGGTTTGTGAACATAGATGCAACATCGAATGCCACCCTCCCGTCCCGGACATTGCCTTTTCCGCAGAGGGCAATGCCCTTGGAGATGTAGCCTGTCAATGAAGGCTCAACGCTGATGGACTGTGTTACGGATGAAAGTTAGCCTTTCATAAGAGGGCCATGATTGGTTGGTATGACTGACCTTGATTGCATCCTCGATGGCGTGGTCCCAGTCTTGTTTTCGTGCCATCACGAAGGAGCGATTAGCATAGGAGGTATAGTTGTTGATGTCGGCGTTGATATCTTGTGTGAGTAGCTGTTCAGCAGTCGACAAGTCCCCACTTATGCATGAAGCACGGGCTGCCGTGATGGCAGTGAGGATCTGCGTGAAACATGTTCAAATTGCGTGACACGAGTGAAGGATGGAAACTCACGTTTGAACGAAAACCCCTACGTGCTTCCCACTCCGAGATCTGATTATCTTCACCTCCGCTGAGGATGTTATTGCCATCTACAGAGAACGTGATACATCTCAGTTCGGATGAGTGCTTGAAGATGCCAATGTTTCGTCGATCTGAGAGCCGCCAGAGATAGACATGGTTGTCTTCAGATGCGGAAGCAACGAGCGTGCCAGCAGGATTGACGGCGATGGCGGTGATACTCCGAGTAGTATGGCCTTTCCAGGGATCACCGACCTTCTCCCATGTTGATGTATCCCACTCATGTATGGCGTCATCCGCGGCAGAAAGAAGGCGTGTCTCATCGAGCGTCCACGCGAGTGTGTTGGTATAACCTCCCAATTTCAAGGTTGCGACGCGTTCCCTTGAGCCTGAATTATAAATTTCGATATTTTCATATGTTGCGATGGCAAGAAGTTCACCAGACGGTGAATATCGAACCCAGGTGACACCAAATTTAAATTCATGATTTCCTTGTTGCTGCCAAGTTTTGGTGCACCACAGCTTGACCGTCGTCGAATTCCCTGAACCAGTGGCCAACACCGTACCATCCGCGGAAAAGTCCAGCGAGTTGACAGGGGAGGAGGAGTGGATGCTTCTATCGTGGGCTTTGATGGGTTGGGTGAGAGATTCTCCTGTTTCTCCGTTCCAAACGATGACCTCTCCATTTGCATCACCGCTTGCTATTATTTGCCCATCTCGTGATACCGCCAATGAATACACCTTACTGCGATGCCCCTCCATCTTCTTCAACACAACACCTGTCTTCAAGTCCCAAAGACAAAGTGTCTTGTCGTCTGAGCTCGTAACTATTCTTCGTCTATCGGGGAAAACTGCGACTGCGGTTACGCGTCCTTCATGACCAAAAGTTCTAAGGGGTGTGGTGCTTGGAATGAGCTTCGTCATTTTACTGTAGGTTGGTAGTCGGTCGAAGCGGTCTTTGGAGGGCTTGTGAGCGTCTGTGTTTCAGCTGCAGAGGTGCGTGTATTGTGCGTTTTTACGTTACTTCACTACATTAAGCTTCTTAGATGATCGCATCAATATAGATGCAGCCGATGTTCTTTCCCCTCACGCCTCAAACCAGCCACTAATTGCGTGGCGGTGTGTCTGCCTTCCGAGGCGCGCTCTATCCAACACTTATTTGATAACGACAGGCGCTAGGCCAGCCAGCCGGTCTGGTTGCAGCGTTGATATAGGAAGAAGTCAAGTTGACTCAGACACGTAATTCCTGTACCGCCAGGAGTCGTCACAGACGATTTCACTGCTACGTTGGTTGATGATAGTCGAATGGATGAGGACGCTGATGGTGCTGTCCTGTCCCCTTTCTCACCCAATATTGTGCCCAAGTTGTCTCCTTCAGTTTCCTCTCTGCTAATGGATGGCAGGCTCAGTGCGCTCAGCAATGGTGAGTCGGACTCTCGGAGCATGGCGGCATTTCAAATGTTCGAAATAGCCTAATACAGTAATTTAGCGTCGATGCATCTCAGGAGGCACTTCGAAATTTCGATCAATGAAACATAATCGTCAACTTCAACCTACGTGTGCAGTGCACCGCCAACTTGTGGGTAAGTTGAAACGTCTTCACAACTCAAGGTACCATCGGCAATGTCATCAGTTAAAACACTGATAGTGTCTGGTGCACCCCACCACATCCTGAGTACTCGCCGCCCGCAATCTGGCACTTCTAAACGCCAGCGCTGGTGCCTCGTTCCACCATCACCAGTGAGACAACATCAGTATCAATATCGTTGGAGAACGCACCCTTATACAACTAGCAGAACTCTAGGTGCTGGCAACAGCATAGAATTGACGTTGTCATAAAGGTAAGTATCTCCTTACTGCCTAGCTTTACCTTTCTTCTTTGGGTGCTGCCCCAATATGCTCTTTTACATCGTATATGCTCGTGTTCGGAGCCATGTGTACAGTAACGCATGTTGTCTACACTTACTTACATTATACAACTCGACCTTGCTTCTAACCACCCATAGTCTGCTTGTAGTCTGACCGCCCTGTTGTCAACTCCTGATATCTCATGTACGACACCACCCGAGCGTACTATTATGGCCTCGACCCCGCGCTCGCGCTCAGCCTTTCTGTTATCCATACTCCTGTTATTGCCGTGAGGATGGGCCATTGGAATACGATGAAACCAGGGTACGTCACGCTATTCAAGTGGACTGAAACACCTGAGTCTCGGTTGGATTGTAGGATAGGATGCTGGTAAGTCCGACCTCGTTCGAACCCATCGGCGAGCCACTTGAGCACCCTGATACCATGTACTTCGTAGCTGTTGTTGAGGACAGCCAGATCTTCGCCACTGGCTGTCGGGATAGCCTCATGGGCAGTTCCTCAGAGCGATTCAGAGAAAGACTCGCAACAGGTCAGCAAACTTTCAATCGTGCCATACTTCCTGCTGACATATCTACATTCTACACCGAAAATTTGTAGACTTTAACTCCGTCCGTTACTCCTCCAGGAGACCATAGGCTTAGAGTCTGAACTCTCGCATAGGTTATTTGATGATGTGAGTCCCTATGTCACATAGATATGCCCGTCTGACTTTTGCTCCAGTACAATACCCACTCCCCGCCTCAACACAATGACCACTGCACTTCACGACACCATGCCACAGGCATCCAGAACATATCTTCTCTCGTCTTTCAGTTCTTCAGGGCCATGCTCCCCGCCCTCACAGCATTCCTTTCGTAAACATATTTGCAACGCAATAGTATCTGGTGCAGCTATCACTTCCCAAGTACTCGCCTGCAATGTGGTACATCTAACGCTAGCGCTGGTGTGGGGACTCCATCAATGTCGTTAGAGAGCGCACTATGACGCAACTAGCAGCACTCCTCTTCAAATGGGCTGCTTTGCTATCCTCACTAGGTGCCTCCCACATCTATAATGGACTTGACAAATAATTCATACTGCCCCTCGCTCCCGCGAGATTTTAAATCTCCGTTTCGACACTTCTTTTATTTGACTTGTTTCTCTTGGGCTGCACGTTATGCTATATGTTGTCGGTACATCCTCAATGTAATTCCCACAGACATTATATATTCCTGAACTTCCGTTAGCTCGTCCAGCTGGACATGATGAACACCCGTTTCCATCTTTTTTTTGACGAGTTGCTATCGAAGATTGTTCAACCTGACCATGACTGTTTCCAGGCCTGAGATCTCGTGCAAAACTGCATCTCATTGTTCCTGGCGTTCAGGAATAGTTCGTATTAGGGATACTGACCTCAAAGTACGGAGTTTTGAGGTCTGGCACCGAGAAATCATTAATAAAATGAGCGAGCTGCAGCGAATGAACATTAGACTCGAGCGCATATAAAACTGGGCGCGCTCCACTAAAACCAAGTCAAGCATTAATGTGTTGTACACGATCCGACTTGGATCCGACCGTCCCTTGTATTCCATAAATTTAAAGCGAGCCATTGCCAGACAACGAATGCACAAGTCCAGCAAGTATGATTTTCCGTTGATAGAGTTTCAGATCTGCAATAGCAGCTGGTAAACTAGGATCAGCAGTGAGATCGCCCTCGTGGACGGGTACGCGCTTAGAGTTAGGCAGCACATCGCAAACTGGTAGCTAGTCATGAGTCTTGTCAGCATATAAACGATTTTCATCAAAGCTCGCGCCCGCAAATTAGCTATGAATAGGAACAAGAAGAAACCTGAAGGATAAGGTGATAAAATACTGCCTCAAGTCAACATAGATATCGCAACAAACAAGAGCAATAACGGAACTGAAATACCCGAGGACATCCAAGAAAGACGCTAGCAGCAGCAACACGACTTGCCACCTACATGTTCCCCAGTGTCTACCAACGTTGCTGCTGGCTGCTGTCGCTGTGGTGTGTTGGGTTCTTGTGTGTTGGGCCGTTGTGTAGAATTGGGGTCCTGCGGAAAATCATCAAAATATTCGTCAGGCACTAAGTCCTCGTCTCTCCCAGGAGCATCCGCTGCAGCATTGCGCTATAGATGTATATATGAGACACCCAAGACACGTTGATAAAAATGGAGCGGGCGCACCTCTTTGCCCTTCGCGAAAGGAACGTCGACAACGGGTGGTGCTGCATGATCGGGTCGCCAGGTGAATAAGTGTCGTACGTGGGCTTTGAAGGTCGTGGGAGCAGCGGCAGGTGGTAGTGCGGTAGGCGGTACTGGTGTGGGTGCAGGTACAGGAGGAGGAGGAGAGCGCTTTGTCACAGCGAGCCTGAGTTTCTTGAAGAGCCCGGGGCGCTGTTGAGGTCGTGGTCTGGATGTTTGAGGATGCTGTAATGAATGACGTGAGAAAGAGAAATGAAGGATACGCTGAAGCACCCACGCCATGCATGCCCCGGAAGAAATCAGGTTCTGCATCATAGCCATCTTGATCTTGCCCCGGAATCTCTGCCTGCATAACATAGGTCAGTAGCGAAAAGGTTGAGGAAAGGAATACATGCACCAAGAATACGGTCATCACGAGCAGCAAGTGCGCTACAATGTTCCTTGAAGTCTGTGTGAAATGTGGGTGAGTATGACAGCGTTTAGTAGCAATACTGAAAACTTGCCGTTCGACCAATCGAGGCAGCTGGCCTTCTCAGTCTTGTCGATGGCGTCCATCATATGTTGGTGTGATTTAAGGGCTTCTTCGACTTTACCTGCCGAAAGGAAAGCCTGACAACGTTTCTGGTGTGTAGTGAGCCAGAAGGACTCAAGATCCCAGCCGAAAAGCTGGAGGAAGCACCCAGTTATAGTATTTTCGGATGCATCATGTCAACGCACCACGATCAAGTCCTCGTATAGTTCAAGGACGATTGTTGAAGGTAAAGTATTACAGTCAACGGCAGCGGCGAAGTGGTCAATGGCTTCGTCATGTCGCGCGCTATCCAAGGCCTTGGTTCCAAGCTGAACGTGTAGATATGCCTCGAGTTGCAAAGATCAGTATTGATAACCGAGTGTAGCCGCATAATACTTACTTCTATGACACGACACGCACGGGTATCAGCATTCGGACGAGCGGCAGCTAGCTCTTTGATGAGCAGCATCGCTTCGTCATGTTGATCTGCATTGAAGAGGGCAATGGCCTGAAACATGGAATGGAGCAGGGCGCATGCGAGACAAATCTAACTTACCTTGATCAAGAGAAGTAAATGGATGATTTCTGGATCTTGGTTCGTGAACATGGATGCAACATCAAATGCCACCCTCCCGTCCCGGACATTGCCTTGTCCGCAGAGGGCAATGCCCTTGGAGATATAGCCTGTCAACGAGGGCTTAATCCTGATGGACTATGTCGCGGATGGAAGTTAGCTTTTCGCAAGAGGGCCATAGTTGGTTGGTATGGCCCACCTTGATTGCATCCTCGAGGGCGCGGTCCCAGTCTTGTTTTCGCGCCATAACGAATGAGCGATTGGCATAGGAGGTATAGTTGTTGGTGTCGGTGTCAATCTCTTGCGTGAGTACCTGTTCAGCGGTAGACAAGTCTCCAGTTAATGCTGGCGCTGAATTGCGGGCTGCCGTCGCAATAGCAAAAATCTGCATATTATAGGCGTGTTCGAATTGCGTTAAATGAGTCAAGGATGGAAACTTGCCTTTGAATGAAAACCCTTACGTGCTTCCCACTCAGAGATCTGATTATCATCACCTCCGCTGAGAATGTTATTGCCATCAACGGAGAACGTGATACATCTCTGTGGCGATGAGTGCTAGAAGATGGCAATGTTTCGTCGTTCTGAGAGCCGCCAGAGACGAACATCGCTGTCTTGAGATGCGGAAGCAACGAGCGTGCCAGCAGGATTGACGGCGATGGCGGTGATTGCGTGTGTGTGGCCCTTCCAGGGATCACCGACCTTCTTCCAGGTTGATGTATCCCACTCTTGGATGGCGTCATCGGGTTTATAGCTTGCAGAAAGAAGGCGCGTGCTATCGGGCGTCCACGCGAGTGAGTAATAGTATATCTTCGCCTGCAAGGTTGCGATGCGTTCCCATGTGCCTGAATTATAAATTTCGATTTTGCCAAATGTTGCGATGGCAAGAAGTTCACCAGACGGCGAATATCGAAACTCGTAGACAACAGATTCAAATTTGATTTGATTTCCTTGTTGCTGCCATGTTTTGGTGCACCATAGCTTGACCGTCTTGTCCCCTGAACCTGTGGCCAACACCGTGCCATCCGCGGAAAAGTCCAGCCAGGTGACATATTTGGAGTGGGCTTTGATGGGTTGTGTGAGGAATTCTCCTGTTTCTCCGTTCCAAGCGATGACCTCTCCATCTTCATCACCGCTTGCTATTATTTGCCCATCTCGTGATACCGCCAATGCCTTCACCCCACTATGATGCCCTTCCATCTTCTTCAACACAAGACCTGTCTTCAAGTCCCAAAGACGAAGCGTATTGTCCCACGAGCCCGTAACCATTCGTTGTCTATTGGGGAAAACTGCGACTGCGCTTACGCGTCTTTCATGATCCTTGAACTGCCGAAGAGGTGTGATGCTTGGAATGAGCTTCGACATTTTACTGCAGGTTGGTAGTGTTGAGCACGGTCGATGTGGGCTTTGGAGGGTTTGTGAGCGTCTGTGTCTCAGCTGCAGAGGTGCGTGTATTCTGCGTTTTTACCTTACTTCACTACATTAACCTGCCTCGTTTCCATAGACGCCCAGCACACGAGGTCGTTTGCTGCCATACTTCCATCCCTGTTACAACAAGAATGCTCCCCATTGTCACACTCGCCTTCCTCGGCAGTATACGGGCTCTCCCACCGCCTCATCGCTGCATACATTCGCCTGACTCTTGTCTCCACACCTTCCAGCATGTATGCCCTTGCATCACAGTGCAGTTGCTGCTTTTCGGCGCTCGTATCTGCCTGAAAGCCATCTGTCCTAGATGTCCGCATGAATGTTGTTGTTTCTATTGTCGAGCGGAGTCTCCCACATATCACCGTGCCCGAACACTTTGCATACACCTTACTGGAATACAACCTCTTCATTTCATCGATCTCTGTGTGCAACAGATGCAGCCACTAAGTGTGTGGCGGAGTTTCCGCCTTTCGAGTCGCGTTCTATCCAACACTTATGCGATAATCTCTGCAACGGCAGGCACTGGGCCAGCCAGCGGATCTGGCAGTAGCGTCCACGTAGAGAGAAGTCAAGCTCAACTTGACTCTGATCCTGCCTGGTCGACGTCAGAGCTTGCACGGTGATTCAACTTCTGGATCAAGCCCTTGTAACAATCACAATGTCTTGTGCAGCGTCATTGCCGCTCGAATCTCATCACGTGCGAATCGACCTTATGAGCATTATTTTTCCCGCTGGACAAAAATTCCGATATAGCTGCATTTCCGACCTTTCATGCGCATCGACACCAGAAAGGAGTAGTTATCCTATCCGAACTTCTGCCCTCCACTCGTCACGCACGATGAAAGAACTTGCTCTACTCATTTCCGGTACTCCATGCTTCTTGTCTCAACGTCGCCCTGTACGAAGGCGAATGCAAATACACTTGATACAGCACTCGATGGCTGAACTTGGATGTGAGAGGCCGATTTCCTTCAGTGCCTGGTGCAACTGGGGAGATTCGACGAGGGCGAGATAGTGGTGGAAGGCGATTCGTAATTCATCTCTCAGTATGTGCATCACTCTGTGGAGACGGTGGGTGGCTGTGGATGAACCGGCACCAATCTTTGGGCACCAAGTTCAATGGCGAATTGCAGCTCCACAGAGGTTTTGACTGTCGTGACACTGCATCGTTCGGAAAGTCTTTGACGTAGTAGTTTGTTAGTTGATAAAATAGGAGAAACTCGCCAATGCACAGCGTATGATTTCATTATATGGAAGAAAACCAATCAAATAGAAGCGCAACTCTTCTGCAATATTAAATATATCCCTTCCAAAGCCACGACGAATGGAACGCTCTTGGTTCATCCCGTGGTTCATGACAGAGAGATTACCGGGCTGGGTGAGCACACGGAAGTGCCCCACTATACGATCAGAGTTGCTCGTCGTGGGCATGAGCAAAGTACGGTGAGTGTGGCCGAAATAATACCAAGGCGGTGTATCGTTGTACATCTGCTCAAGTCTTGTTCTTGCACACTCAATCTGTAAATGCTAGACAGCGCAGTTCGGTATCCCAAGGACAAATTGTAGGTTCAGTGTCAGGCCTCAAGACCCAGCCCTGGCATACCCGGAACTATCCAGTTTAGCAACACTCCAGTAGGTCTTGTGCTTGAGAGCTACAGCAAGATGTACCAGGTTTTGTGCGTTCTCCGATGAGATGTATGCGACAAAACGATCTGAAGGAGACAGCAAAGTCTCTAAAATGGCAAGCCGATGAAGCGGGCGCGGTAATATCAATATTCAAGATGCTCGACTCGCTCCAGAGTGCTTTGCCTGTGAGCCGCTCATCACTAACTTAGTGCCCGTTCGGCAACCATCCGTTTGCGCCGGAAGTTCAGACGAGGTGTTGATGTTACCAAGAGACTTAGACTCAACCGTTCTATAGACTAGTCAGAGACAGGCAAGGGCGAAAAGACGAAACAACGACATTCGTGGTGTACAAACTAGTAGAGGTCGACTCAATTCACCAATGCTCGAGATGTGCGTGATCACCTAGATACATTCTATGTGAGCATTAATTTATAATAACATAGGGCACGTACCGATTAGTAACTGATTAACGTCGACAGGCGGTGTGGCATCACCCAAAAAACTGCTCGGGATTATTTTGGTGGTACCTTAGCAGGCTATGTGCAAAGATGTTCCGTTGAAGCAGCGCTCAAGGATCGCCGGACGAGAACGCCCTGATAACGCTCACGACCAGCATAGCATCGCAGCATCTCCACCGTTTGACCTATGACATAGCTCATAGCTCACCTAGGATTGCAGTGCTTGCGATTAAACATGACAAAGCTGCAGTGGTAAGAACTTCAGAATACACGCAAAGTTCAGGGACGCGATCTCACCCAACCTTCCTGAAAACCCTCCTAATCTCCCTCTCAATCCTCCTGACACCAACCGACACCCCAAAATCAAACACACAAAGTTCAAAAACAGCGCCCAAACACCTAGGCGCAAATACCTTCCACGCCGTCAGATGCCTCCTCAACGCTGCCCCACACACCGCCGCTCCAAACTCCAACACTACGGAATACAAGGACATTGTCAGTGCGGCTCTTAGCATTGATGCTCCTGTTGTGGGTCGGGAATGGGGTATTGGAGGGAGGTTCTGTAAAATAATCAAAGGCACCGCAAGCGCTAAGAGTAAAAACGACCCAAACATGTTGATAGCCAAAGAAAATGTGAAAGAGGGAAAGACCGTCTTTCCACACACGAACGCGCTATTTTCCTGCAGACGAAAATGTCGTTTGGTGGCCTGTGCTGTAATACGAGGCACGATTTCTAAGAATGAGAGCTCGCGGTTTATGTTATCATTGGCGAGGTAGATGGTAGTGAGGATGGTGGGGTGGTGAAGGTTGCATTTAAGCAGTGGACGCCCCGGAAGCTGCGAAGAATCACTAGATAGGATAGTAGCGCGGTGGATGAGAGTCCGAGGATGATATGTCCTGAGAGTTGGGTCATCAATCAGACGATGCTCAAAAAAATGAGCCAGAGAAGTATGGGAAAAACGAACGCGTTGACGAAGCCTAGCACGGTGACTTTAGTATTTTCTGGTGCTGGAGACGTCTCACTCGATTAGCTTTGGCTTTTCCGACGTCCAACACGCCGAAACCCCACAAATCAACACAACAGCAGCACTAGTCCTCGCCAAGACCGTCCTCGTCACCTTCAAGCCATCACCCGTATCCTCCAGGACTCGCGCAGAGTCTGCCCATTCGAGCATCCAGAGCATGGTGACAGCGATCAAAGACGGTGCGAGAAACGGAGGAATCTGTGTTGCAGCGAGACCCGAGTCCGATTTGTAGATTTTGAGCATGCGGCAGACAACACGGGGACCTCTGATCGCAACAAGGAAGGCGATGAGGAGAGATGTGATTGAAGGGACTGATGACGACTCGGATGTGTAAAAAGTGACGGTACAGTAGGGGTGTTGTTCGTCCCTGCAGACGGTGCTCATATCCATCAGTAGGGCGCATACTGCGAAGAGGGCAGAAAAGCCTAGTATACGGTGGCGCAATGGGGAGGTTGGAACAGTAAAACCTGTGGTGACTGAGGGAACGATGGACGAGATGAGGAAGAAGAGCACCAAGCGGTCTTCCTAGACTTCGACGCGAAACACAGGATGCGGAGAATGAGGAAGATGGGGAGTGTCTTGATGGATTTCAGGGTGATCGTGGGACCTACCACGACGAATGATAATGAAGATGAAACCACCTGGATTGTGGGATGACGCTCCCGAGGTTATTGAATAGGATTAATATTGCGCTGAGGAATCATGATGACTTCGACGAGCGAGGCGCCATTTCAAATTTTCGAAATAGCCTAATCCAGTAATTTAGCGTCGTTCCAACTTCCAATTGACCATCGAGCTTCTAATAAGATCGTTGGAATATACGCCAACTAATTATAACAACCTTTACATACGTGTGCATATTACACTGCCAACTGACGGAGCTCGATGGAGGGTGAAGTCGAAACGTCCTCGCAACTCAAGGTACGTGAATTTCTAAGTTTTCCTACATCCATTCCGTGTCGACGAGATTTCTGGCAGTTCATCGTCAGTCTCAGTGTATTGGTCCATTGCCTTCGTTATTGGCCCCGCCGTCCCGCCGTTCAGCTACATCTCGTCGCTGATTGCCGTCGTTTGCATTTTCCGTGCGTATTCATACTTTTCTAGTTGCTGTCACCACGACGTAACCACTTTTCAGAGTTCACATACACCTTCCCGCCATTTATGATCCTGGGTTACTTCATGCAACTAGATGCCACTAAAGGTGACTGAGAATTTGACACCAACAACCCCGATGCCCACCGTGTTGATACCTGGAGGGATTCATCGCGTTGGAAACGTGCATGTACGTACCAACTTCCGCAGAGTTCCCCCACACCAAATCTAACCCTGCTGCCACAGTCTTCAACAAGAATGCCTTCTTTAACGTGTGGAACTTCCTTCTCGCGCTCGCATGCTTGTCCTGCGCTATTCTGGGCGCGTACTCGGCCGTCCAGTCGATCGTGACTGCGTTCCAAACCACGGGTGCTGCGACAGCGTTTAGCTTCAAGTCACCATTGGATAAAAGTGGTTAAGGCATCTTCCTATGAAGTTGGATGCGTGTTTTTTTTGTTCAATTGAAAGCTGTAGATTGAGATGTCTTCACGATACTTGGGTATGATATGCTTAGTAGTCTGACACGCTCGCCTGTAACGTTGACCTAATGTACCAATGACAGGATGAATGAAACGTTTGTTATGATCACTAGACAATTTGCAATCGAGTACCATTAATGGTGTATTTTTACAAGGGGGCGATGGGCATTGATATTGTGGGTAGTGATTTCCAAGCACCTATTAAATTCCGTGAAAGTCGTAACCCATGATACCGGTGTCCTGGGGTATTTTGCTCCACATGGATACAAAGGACTGTTTTTTAAAAGCTGAACGAAGGTTTGAGAGTTCCGGGCGAGGGTCCAAGTCGATTGCTTCCGGAGAAGGACGGCCCCCGTATTCATACGCACATAAGAGGGGTAGCTCTCTTGTCGATGTAGTAGAGGATGAAGGTGTAGAGGTGGCATCTAAGATATTATTATCCTTGTTTTGCTGTCCGATCTACTACCCGAGGGTATTGTTGAAGTGTCTAACCGCCTATGGCGGCGTGGAGCCTTTAGACGCGATGGAAGGAACCAGCGATCGGATCTGCATAGCCTCCTCATCAGACAACGGACTGCATACCCGCCATTTGGACATGATTCCACTATATTTGGGACAGCAAGTACGCCTTCCAGCTTGAGCACGTTGGCATCTGAAGAGGCAGGACCAGCTACTCACGTTACGATTTAAGATCCCATTGTTCCTGCGTCAGCGTGAGATTCTATGTGAGCGGTCATAATGAGCGCATAGACGTAACCACGCGTCATCCCCCGAGCAGAGACTTTCACTGTCGTCGAAATGAGCGCGGTGAGGCGGGTTTGAAAGTCCAAGCGACGAAAAGAAGATCGTACTCATGATAAGAGCATTCACACTGTGTGGCGTGCGACAGAAATACGCAAAGTGCCGTATATGGAGTTCGATAATAAATGACGTGGGCTTTCATTTCCCCTCGCACTTGTTGCGAAGCTGCACGGATCCCTCAATGTATTCACACAAAAATCGCATCTGCTGCTCAGCGTACAAGGAATGCGTCTAACTCCAAAGTCCGACTTCACGATGTTCCCTTCCTACCATCATGACTACCAGTACGGTCCAGTAGCGATGCGGCCCACTCGATTTACCTGGTTCCAAACATTCGGCTACATTCCCAATTTACGTTCATTTGATGTCAGTGGTGTGCAACTCATGATGTGTGCGTATAGGGCGCATATATGCGCAATTTTCATTGCTCGTAGTCGGGCCATGTCTGAGGTGAAATCGACGCGGTCCTGCCGCGCGGACCGCGTCACAGTAGCTCGATCACCATTCTGCCGAATCGATTCAGAATTTTGCCCATCACTATGCGCAGGATATAAAAGCTGGCCGTTTTCCTACAGTATCCCCCATCCTCAGAGTTCTTATTCGAGATCCCCCTCAGAAGATTCCATATCACCTCGCTTCAAATGCGTTTCTCCTTCCTCGCCGTTGTTGTTGCTTTGACAGCATCCATGTCTGTCAGTGCCTGTGGCGATGGCACATATGCTTGCAAAACGACTGCAGATTGTTGCCCAGACTTTGTTTGCCAATTAAACGTAAGTATAAGTAGTTTGCTGTCCATCCAAATGACTCACCCTTAGCGTCTTGTAATTCTAATAGAATGGAGATTTGGCCTGCGTTGAAATCTCATAATGGGCGGGCAGCCTGAGCGGCACGTTGTGACAGTAAGTCATGTTTCCGAGTCTGCTTTCGCTTTGGTGCCGTGGTTGATGGTGCCATCCCTAGTTTAGAGACGATCACTGTACGGTTGCTTCTGGACAAACTTCAAAGCTGCTTGAGAAATGTGGACCTTCGGACATCTGGGCCACTCCATAGTATGATATATGTACCAACCTGAATGCATGAAATATGGGTTCTGAAACGTTACGTACTTTTTGGTCCGGGTGCAAGCTTACACATTCTGAAATGCATCACTTCCAAGAACGAGTTCCAGTGAAACCCGGTCCTCACCATATCTACGCAGAACGACGGATATATTTTTGCTCGTGACTTGTCAATATTTCCGTCGTTTTCCGTCGATACGGTGAGGAAGACAGTCGTTCCTCGGACTTCCTCTCAACTAGCAACTACAGGAGCGTTTCTGCGAGATTTCTGATTTCCAAGATTGTGGTGCTGCCATGATAGTTTGAAGTATACACATTACTGTCTTAATTATCTAAGACTTTGCCAAGCAGATCTCACAGTACCGGAGGCATGACATTTTACCCCACGAAACTTCGAACAACACCGCGTTGGTACCACACACGTCTGCAGAGACTGGTGCAAGCTATATGATGGTGTCGCTGTCAATTGGCGAGACCGCCAACTCGCTGCCATCAACAATCCTACTGCAGTAAGTCTCAGCGACTGCTACATGTTCCCTGGGCCGCACTTCAGTTAGCTCATCGAGCCAGACATCAGACATGATGGACACCCGTTTCCATCCTTTGGACGAGTTGCCATTAAAGATCGTTAATCCTGACCATGACTGTTTTCGCACCTCAGATCTTGTGCAAAATTGCATCTTGATTTTGCTGGCGTTCAGCTTCGATGGTCTGGTCTTTGAGCGCGATTGCAGAATAGTTCGTATTGGGGAAACTGACCTTCGGAGTACGGAGATTTTAGGTCTCACATCTAGATATCATTAATAAAATAATGTTTGGGATGTCGCGGTAGACGTACAGTCACTTGTTGCGGTGAACATAGGAGCTGCAGCTAATGAACATTAATATTAGATACGAGCGTATATAAACCTGGGCGCGTTTCACTGACGCGAGTCAAGCATTGTTGTAAACGATCTGATCGTCCCGCTCATTCCATAAATTCAAAGCGAACTATTGTCAGACTACGAATGTACAAGTCCAGCAAGTATGATTCTCCGTCGATCGAGTGTCAGATCCGCAAGAGCAGCTAGCAAACTAGGATCAGCAGTGAGATCGCCACGGGAACGTGCTCAGAGTTAGGCAGCACATCGCAAAAGTGGTAGCTGGTCATGAGTCTTGTCAGCATATAAACGATTTTCGTCAAACTGGCGCCGCAAATTAGCTATGAATAGGAACAAGAAGACACCTGAATAATATGGTAATAAAACACTACAAATCAACATAGATGGAGCAGCAAAACAAGAGCAACGACAGAACAGAAATACCACGAAAGCCGCTAGCAGCAAAAACACGACTTGCGAACTCCATGTACCCCAGTATCTACCGGAATTGCTACTGGCTGTCGTTGCTGTTGCGTATCGGGTTGTTGCGTATTGGGCTGTTGCACATTGGGCTGTTGCGCATTGGGGTGCTGTGGATCATCATCGAAATATTCAGCACGTATAATATCTGAATCGTCATCGGGAGGAGCACCCGCTGCAGCATTACGCTGTAGATATATGCATGAGACACCCAAGACAGTGATGAAAATAGACCGAGCGCACCTTTCGACCCCACGCAAAAGGAACTTCGACGACGGGTGGTGCTGCGTGGTCGGGTCGCCACGTGAATAGGTGTCGTACGTGGGCTGTGAAGGTCGTGGGGGCAGCGGGAGGTGGTAGGGCGATGGGCGGTGCTGGTGTGGGTGCAGGTGCAGGTGCAGGTGGTGGAACTGGATGAGGATTCCTTGTCATAGCGAGCCTGAGTTTCTTGAAGCGCCCCGGGCGCTGCTGAGGTTGTGGTCTGGAAATCTGAGAATGCTGTAATAAATGACATGAGAGAGAGAAATGAAGGATACACTGATGCACCCACACCATCCATTCCCCGGAAGAAATCAGGTTCTGCATCATAGCCATCTTGATCTTGCCCCGGAATCTCCGCCTGCATAACATAGGTTAGTAGCGAAAATATTGAGGAAGGAGGTACATACGCCAAGAATACGGTCATCACGAGCAGCAAGCGCGCTACATTGTTCCTTGAAGTCTGAGTGAAATGCGGGTGAGTATGACAGCGTCGAGTGACATAACTGAAAACTTGCCGTTGGACCAATCAAGGCAGCTGGCCTTCTCAGTTTCGTTGATGGCGTCCATCATGTGTTGGTGTGATTCGAGGGCTTCTTCGACTTTACCTGCCGAAAGGAAAGCCTGACAGCATTTCTGGTATGTAGTGAGCCAGAAGGACTCGAGGTCCCAGCCGAAAAGCTAGAGAAAGCACTCGGTTATAAAAGATATTTTGGATGCATCATGTCAACGTACCATGGTCAAGTCCTCGTATAGTTCATGTATGCTTTTCGACGGGAAAGCGCTGGAGTTGACAGCGGCGGCGAAGTGGTCAGCAGCTTTGTCATGACGCGCGCCATCCAAGGCCTTGGTTCCAAGCTGAACGCGTAGATATGCCTAATGTGCGAGTTGCAAAGATCAGTATCGATAACCAAGTGTAGACGCATGATACTTACTTCCACGACACGTTGCACGAGGGTATCAGCATTTGGACAAGCAGCAACTAGCTCTGTGATGAGCAGCATTGCCTCTTCATGTTGATCTGCATTGAAGAGGGCAATGACCTGAAATATGGAATGGAGCAGAGAGCATGCGAGGTGAGCCTAACCTACCTTGATCAAGAGAAGAAAATGGTTGGTTTCTGGATCTTGGTTCGTGAACATGGATGCAACGTCAAATGCCACCCTTGCGTCCTGGATATGGCCTTTTCCGCAGAGGGCAATGCCCTTGGAGATACAGCCTGTCAATGAGGGCTGAATACTGATTGACTATGTCACGGATGAAAGTTAGCCTTTCATAAGAGGGCCGTAACTCATTGGTATGGCTCACCTTGATTGCATCCTCGAGGGCGCGGTCCCAGTCTTGTTTTCGCGCCATAACGAATGAGCGATTGGCGTAGGATGTATAGTTATTGGCGTCGGCGTCAATCTCTTGCGTGAGTATCTGATCAGCGGTAGACAAGTCTCCAGTTATGCATGAATCACGGACAGCAGTGACAGCAGTGAGGATCTACGTGAAGCATGCTCAGATTGCGTGACACAAGTCAAGAATGTAAACTCACCTTTGAATGAACACGCTTAGGCACTTCCCACTCTGAGATCTGATTATCTTCACCTCCGCAGACAATGTGCTTACCATCTATGGAGAACATGGTACATCTCTGGATGGATGAGTGCTCGAAGATGGCAATGTTTCGTCGATCTGAAAGCCGCCAGAGACGGACATCGTTGTCTTTAGATGCGGAAGCAACGAGCGTGCCAGCAGGATTTACGGCGATGGCGTTGATCCTCTTAGTATGGCCCATCCAGGGATCACCAACCTTCTGCCAGGTTGATGTATCCCACTCTTGTATGGCGTCATTCGCGACAGAAAGAAGGCGTGTGCCATCGGGCGTCCACGCGAGTGAGCTGGCGTAACCCTCCAAGGTTGCGACGCGTTCCCTTGTGCCTGAATTATAAATTTGGATATTGTCATTTGTTGCGATGGCAAGAAGTTCACCAGACGGTGAATATCGAACCCAGTAGACCCAATTAAAGCTGATTTCCATTTGATTTCCTTGTTGCTGCCATGTTTTGGTGCACCACAGCTTGACCTTGTCCAATGAACCAGTGGCCAACACCGTACCATCCGCGGAAAAGTCCAGCGAGGAGATGTCATAGTGGGTTTTGATGGGCCGGGTGAGAGATTCTCCTGTTTCTCCGTTCCAAGCAATGACCTCTCCATTTTCATCACCACTTGCTATTATTTGCCCATCTCGTGATACCGCCAATACCAACACCCCACTGCGATGCCCTTCCATCTTCTTCAACACAACACCTGTCTTCAAGTCCCAAAGACAAAGTGTCTTGTCGTCTGAGCTCGTAACTATTCTTCGTCTATCAGGGAAAACTGCGACTGCGGTTACGCGTCCTTCATGACCTTTGAAAGTTCGAAGGGGTGTGGTGCTTGGAATGAGCTTCGACATTTTACTGCAGATTGGTAATGTTGAGCACGGTCGAGGTGGACTTTGGAGGGTTTGTGAGCGTCTGTGTCTCAGCTGCAGAGGTGCGCGTATTGTGCGTTTTTACGTTACTTCACTACATTAAGCTACCATAGACGCCCAAGACACGAGGTCGTTTTCTGCCACACCTATCGCCGTTGCAGCAAAAATGCTCCCTATTGTCACACTCGCCTTCTTTAGCAGTATACTCTCCCACCGCCTCATCACTGTGTACATTCGCCTGACTCATGTCTCCACACCTTCCAGCATGTATGCCGTCGCATCACGGCGCTTGTATCTGGCTGATAACCATCTATCCTAAGTGATCACATGAATATTATTGTTTCTGTTGTTGATCAGTTTCTCCAACACATCACCGTGTAACTTGCCCAAACATATACACACACTTTACTGCAATATAACCTCTTAATTTCGTACTCCCAAGATCTGCGTGTGCACCAGATGCAGCCGACTTTCTTTTCCCTCACGCCTCAAACCAACCACTCATCGTGCGGCAGAGTTTCCGCTTTCCGAGGCGCGTTCTATCCAATACTTGTCATAATTTTTATCAACGGCAGCCACTGGGCCAGCCAGCGGGTCTGGTAACAGCGTTGACAGTCCTCTGGTACAGCATTTCGGTCCACACATCGATCAAGAACTTAACCCTCACATCGGATAATGTGGTCCTGGAATACGGGTTTGTCAGATGTTGTGCAATCAGCAGCCATTTTGACGGCTTCTTTTTTTTTACATCCCAATGATTCCGTCATATATGTCGGTGGGCAGAGGAGAACGAGAGCGAGAAAGCATTGTGGGGATCAGGCGAACTAGTATCCGTCGTTGGCGAGCAGTCAGTGGAAGGCAAGATCTCCTTGTTATTGGGCAAAGGACGTTGCTCTAGGGCGGACTTGTTATCATTATCGAGCTAGAATCCGTGGCTTCACGTGGCCTGCCGCGGAAGACAATATCGACAATGACCATTTAATGGCTCCTTTTCCATTTACAACGGGCCTTTAATGATCCTGGACTTCATCCGATCTCACTGGCACCATCTTGAGTTTGCATTTTCCAGAGAAACGTCCACCCTGGGGATCGCCTTCAATTAGTAGGCTACGAAGCTGGGTTTGAAAATGTTGGACCTTGCCTTGACGTAGCTGCCCGCAATATTTCTGCAGCGAGGATGCCACCTCAACAACATTACTGTCTATAACTAGTGCGCAGGCCTCCTTCCTCGCGAGATTTCGACCCTCCGTTCTGATACTTCCTCCATCCGACCGGACCGCACGTTACGCTATATATTGTCAGTACATCCTCAATGTTGCTTCCGTCACACAGACCTTACATGTTCCTGCATTTCAGTTAACTCATCGAGTTGCAATGGACGCCATAGAGGATGGTGCATCAGACCTATTGAATATCAGACACGGTGAACTCAGGAATCCTCGCGCAGCTGATCTCACAAGACAGACTGTACAAGACCCTAGACATAAATTTGATAATCTTGCTAATTCTGCTCGCGTTTCAACCAAAGATCCTTTGCCTAATAGTAACAGCGCTGCTCCTCTTCTCGAGTGTACTCATTGCCGCAGGAGATCGCGTCTCAGACATCATGCATCCAGATCTGATCTAAGAGGCTGCCTGGTGAACGGCTAGCTCAGCGGTTCAAATGTTCACTATGCGGCATCGAAATAAACGAGGAGGCAGCCTCGATGGACTATGATATCGATGCAGTAGTGAAATTCATAGCATTAATATCAGACGCAGATTACAATTACAATGCAAGAGATAGTCCATGGGAAGCGATGTACCACGTTATCACAAGTAATCACCGTAAATCGTATCCTCATTGACGTCGTAGCACTCACACCAGATAATATCACTATCGTCTCCTTCGTTTGTACAAAGGTTGGAAAGGCTTCGGTCGCATCTGCAGCAAATTTCTCACCCATACCAGCGTATGTCTTGCATAGGAGACCTTTGCAGCTCTGCCGCACCAAAACGGCGCGTCTCACGTCTATGTCCTTTGCGTCCTTGATGCAGTCGCGACAGAAATCCACATGTTTGCACAGCTCACAAACGTCGAGGTATGAGCATGACGAACAGAAATACCGTGACACCCAGGGCATGTGAGAATCCCACTAGCTGAAGAAGCCTGCGACTCGCAACCACCGCAAGTCCAGTAATTACCACGTCGATAGGCGAAGCTATTCTGTGTGATGCAATCAGGGCACGCTGTGGTGCCAACCCGAGAATAACAATTAGTTTGGGGGCAGCGACGCCCATTCGTTCCGTTCTCTCGACTGTTATCCATACAGGCAATAGACCAGCAGGACAAGGGATGCGCTAGGTGTAATCGTATTGCATCGGTTTTTGGTGGAGAATGTCTGGTGCTGCTTGTGTCGTTATTAGAAACTGGGAGCCCGATACACCACTGAAGCTCTTTTGAACAGAGCCAGCGCACACATGTGGGACACTCGCCCAGAGAGCCTGAACGTTCCAAATATGCGGTACAGAACTTGAGACGTACCGTCTGTGTAGGAATGTACCGAAGGTCAGCGTTCTCTGATTCATCATGCTTTTGGCGGAGAGCAATGCGTCTACGGACTCGCACAGTGTTTTCATCTAGGAATATCATGGGGCTGCACACGTTAAGCTTTCCATAGGGAGGGCATCGTTTGATTATGAATAAGGGACGAGAAGAAATCTGAAGGAGATGTTAATAAATACTGCGTCAAGTCAACATAGGTATCGCAACAAACAAGAGCAAGTAAACTGAAATACCCGAAGACATCCAAGAAAGCCGCTAGCAGCAGAAACACGACTTTCCACCTCCATGTTCCCCAGTGTCTACCTGCGCTGCTACTGGTTGATGTTGCTGTTGTGTAGCATCGGGGTCCTGCGGAAGATGATCGAAATATTCGTCAGGTACCAAGTCCTCGTCTCTTCCAGGAGCATCCGCCGCAGCATTGCGCTATAGATGTATATATGAGACACCCAAGAGAGTGATCAAAATGGACCGGGAGCACCTCTTTACCCTTTGCGAAAGGAACGTCGACAACTGGTGGTGCTGCATGATCGGGTCGCCAGGTGAATAAGTGTCGTACGTGGGCTTTGAAAGTGGTGGGAGCAGCGGCAGGTGGTAGTGCGGTAGGCGGTACTGGTGTGGGTGCAGGTACAGGAGGAGGAAGAGAGCGCTTTGTCACAGCGAGCCTGAGTTTCTTGAAGAGCCCGGGGCGCTGTTGAGGTCCTGGTCTGGAAATCTGAGAATGCTATAACGAATGACGTAAGAGAGAGAAATCAAGGATACACTGAAGCACCCACGCCATGCACCCCCCGGAAGAAATCAGGTTCAGCATCATAGCCATCTTCATCTTGCCCCGGAATCTCTGCCTGCATAACATAGGTCAATAGCGAAAAGGTTGAGGAAGGGAGTACATGCGCCAAGAATACGGTCATCGTGAGCAGCAAGCGCGCTACATTGTTCCTTGAAGTCTGAGTGAAATGCGGGTGAGTGTGACAGCGTCGAGTGACATGACGAAAAACTTGCCGTTGGACCAATCGAGGCAGCTGGCCTTCTCAGTGTCGTCGATGGCGTCCATCATATGTTGGTGTGATTTAAGGGCTTCTTCAACTTTACCTGCCGAAAGGAAAGCTTGACAGCGTTTCTGATGTGCAGTAAGCCAGAAAGACTCAAGATCACAGCCGAAAAGCTGGAGAAAGTACTCGGTTATAGTATTTTCGGATGCATCATGTAAACGTACCACGATCAAGTCCTCGTATAGTTCGTGGATGATTTTCGATGGGAAGGCACTGGAGTCGACAGCGGCGGCGAAGTGGTCAATGGCTTCGTCGTGACGCGCGCCATCCAAGGCCTTGGTTCCGAGCTGAACACGTAGATATGCCTAATGTGCGAGTGGCCAAGATCAGTATCGATACCCAAGTGTAGCTGCATGATACTTACTTCTACGACACGACACGCACGGGTATCAGCATTCGGACAAGCGGTGGCTAGCTCTTTGATGAGCAGCATCGCTTCGTCATGTTGATCTGCATTGAAGAGGGCAATGGCCTGAAATATGGAATGGAGCAGAGCGCATGCGAGACGAATCTAACTTACCTTGATCAAGAGAAGTAAATGGATGATTTCTGAATCTTGGTTCGTGAACATGGATGCAACATCAAATGCCACCCTCCCGTCCCGGACATTGCCTTTTCCGCAGAGGGCAATGCCCTTGGAGATATAGCCTGTCAATGACGGCTGAATACTGATGGACTATGTCACGGATGAAAGTTGGCTTTTCGCAAGAGAGCCATAAGTGGTTGGTATGACTGACCTTGATTGCGTCCTCGAGGGCGCGGTCCCAGTCTTGTTTTCGCGCCATAACGAATGAGCGATTGGCATATGAGGTATAGTTATTGGCGTCGGCGTGGATCTCTTGCGTGAGTAGCTGTTCAGCAGTCGACAAGTCTCCAGTGATGGATGAACCACGGGCTGCCGTGACAGTAGTGTGGATCTGTATGAAGCATGCTCAAATTGCGTGACACGAGTCAAGGATGGAAACTCGCCTTTGAATGAAAACCCTTGCGTGCTTCCCACTCCGAGATCAGATTATCTTCACCTCCACTGAAGATATTATTACCATCTACGGAGAACGTGATACATCTCAGTTCGGATGAGTGCTTGAAGATGCCAATTGTTTGTCGATCTGAGAGCCGCCAGAGACGAACATGGTTATCTTGAGATGCGGAAGCAACGAGCGTGCCAGCAGGATTTACGGCGATGGCGGTGATCCACTTAGTATGTCCCTTCCAGGGATCACCGACCTTCTCCCATGTTGATGTATCCCACTCTTCTATGGCGTTATCCGCGGCAGAAAGAAGGCGTGTGCCATCGGGCGTCCACGCGAGTGTGATGGTGTAACCCCCAAAGTTTGCGACGCGTTCCCTTGTGCCTGACCTATAAATTTCGATATTGCCATTTGTTGCGATGGCAAGAAGTTCACCAGATGGCGAATATCGAACCTCGTGGACAGAATTATTGAATTCAATTTGATTCCCTTGTTGCTGCCAAGTTTTGGTGCACCAAAACTTGACCGTGGTGTCGTATGAACAAGTGGCCAACACCGTACCATCCGCGGAAAAGTCCTGCGAGTTGACAAGTGTGGAGTGGGCTTTGATGGGTTGGGTGAGGGATTCTCCTGTTTCTCCGTTCCAAGCGATGACCCCTCCATATTGATCACCACTTGTTATTATTTGCCCATCTCGTGATACCGCCAATGCCCACACCCCACCGCTATGCCCCTCCATCTTCTTCAACACAACACCTGTCTTCAAGTCCCAAAGACAAAGTGTCTCGTTGTCTGAGCTCGTAATCATTCTTCGTCTATCGGGGAAAACTGTGACTGTGGTTACCCATCCTTCATGACCTTTAAAAGTTCGAAGGGGTGTGGTGCTTGGAAAGAGCTTCGTCATTTTACTGGAGGTTGGTAGTGTTGAGCACGGTCGAGGTGGAATTTGGAGGGTTTGTGAGCGTCTGTGTCTCAGCTGCAGAGGTGCGTGTATTGTGCGTTTTTACCTTACTTCACTACATTAAGCTACCTCGTTTCCATAGACGCCCAGGACACGAGGTGGTTTGCTGCCATACTTCCATCACTGTTGCAACAAGAGTGCTCCCCATTGTCACACTCACCTTCCTCGGCAGTAGACCCTCCCACCGCCTCATCACTATATACATTTCGTCTTACTCTTGTCTCCACACATTCCAACATGTATGCCCTCGCATCATAGTGCAGTTGCTGGTTCCGGCGCTTATATCAGGCTGAAAACCATCTATCTTAGATGATCGCATCAATATTGTTGGTTCTGCTGTCGAGCAGTGTCTCCAACATATCACCGTGTAACTTGCCCGAATATGTTGCATTCACCTTACTGCAATATAACCTCTTTCGTTCGTCGACTCCCATGATCTGCGTGTGCACTAGATGCAGCCGACGTTCTTTCCCCTCACGCCTCAAACCAGCCACTAATTGCGTGGCGGAGTTTCTGCCTTCCGCCAATGCATAGCGTATGATTTCATTATATGGAAGCAAACCAAACATATGGAAGCGCGACTCTTCTGCGATATTAGATAAATCCCTTCCAGAGCCACAACGAAAGGAATGCTCTTGCCGGGCTGCGTGAGCACACGGAGGTGCCCTACTATAAGATTAGAGTTGCTCGTCGTGGGCATGCGCAAACGGCGGTGAGTGTGGACAAAGTGACACCAAGACGGTGTATCGTTTTTCATCTGCTCGAGTTTTGCTCTTGCACGATCGATCTGCAAATACTAGACAGCGCAGTTCATATCCCGAGGACAAAATGTGGGTTCAGTGTCACCCGCCATCTAGATCTATTGTAAACTATCCGATGCAAACGACAGTTAGAATTGAAGCATTACGACTTTTGAATAGAAATCCCAACTATCCAGACGTATAAACGTACCAAAACCACAGCAAGCGGACAATCAATAGCTGGTATAGATTGCACACAAGATCATTAGATCATCTTGAGCCTAGCCCTTGGCAACGATTTGACAGTCTGGAATAGCTCTGTGGCATCATCCCACCCCTCCAGACCCAGCCCTAGCATACCCGGAACTATCCAGGTTAGCGACACTCCAGCCTCCTTGCAAGCCTCTGTGACACTAGCGAATGGCTGGCCCATAGTCGTAAACGCCAAATAGGTCTCGTGGTTGAGAGCTACGGCAAGATGTACCAGGTTTTGTGCATTCTCGGATGAGATGTATGCGACAAACCGATCCGAGGGAGACAGCAAAGTGGCTGAAATGGCAAGCCGACGAAGCATGCGCGGTAAAAATGGAAAGATGTTTGAACTTGTCGGAGATACGTAAATGAATGTTTCGAGAGCAGGGCAACATTCCAGTGACCGGCATGGATCAAGTCTGTGTATCATCAAAAATCGAAGACGCTCGCCAGTCGAGTCAAATGTCAACAAAGGTGTGATATCTGGTGGCGGAAGACTTTGAAGGTGACTTGGGATGATGACAAGCTTCCGTAGGGTCTGCCCACTGTTTGCTTCCTCATCAGGTCCACGAAGAAGGCCAATGATGCCTGGAACTGACAAGTAGGTGCACTGCAAGATGAGGCTGCGAAGTTTTTTAAGTGGGGTAGGAAGTGACTGGTCCGACGGCCATGTCTCAAAATACATTATCTCCAATGTTTCCAGGAACGCCGCACTGCGCCCTAGAGCATGAAGGATTGACTTCCCATTGTGCCCCACACTTCCCACCAGCTTAAGAGAGCGTAACGATGTGAATTCAAAGCGACCAACTTCAGCCGGCAACGAATGGCCAAATATCTTGTCCATGGTGCCATAAATTTCCACTTTTGGCATCTGCGGCATCGAACGAAAGCATTTCCCTAAGGCAGCATAAAAATCATTCCGGTCCAATAGCTGCATCGGACCGTCTGCGTCCATTGTGAAGATCATAACGACGCGTGAATAGGAACCATATTGCCGCAGAATTGAACACAGCTGGAGAATACTCCCATCCAGCCATGGGACGATGAGGGTGTGGAGCATGATTTCGCGGGTAAAAGTGCACCAAGTTCGACAGACGAACGCAAACCGAAGGAATGTACGAAGATCATGTCGGTACTGTTGCCATGATCCATTCGTAAATGCCTGTCTGGGGAGCAGAAATGGAAAAGAAGAAGTGGGCGAAATATGTTGTAGAATTGATGGTATGAGCTCGGGAGGGATGTGCACTGAGTTATCAGTGCCAGGGGACATGTTACAATGTTAGAGCGGAACAATTGTAGTAGTGCTTGCTACGAGCCCTGTTGCCCGTCGTTTTGGTAGAATACGAGACGCTCAACGAGTCACAACCAATGATTGATATCCCACGAAGTGTGTATCATCCAGCGAGTCGAGTGTTAGACGCCAAAAGACATCAACTATATACTCCCACATGATGACATGCTTTGTTTTGATCCAAATGGTTGCTCTGCGAACTGGTTAGTGCCCTTGTTGGCATAATAGCGCATGGTGAGTCACGTACATCTTGACACCCCACGAAGATTCAGATTATTCCCTTGAGGCTGAAGATCAAGCAGTGGCAGTCCGAGGGCAGATGCCAACATATTAGACGATCAGTCCCTCACACTGGGACCTAATGGGTGCCAGCTTCTATTCGCAATTTTTTGAAGGAGGTACAGTAGTGATGTCGAGTCGTCAACCAGAGAACGAATCACCGATCCCAAGGTCTGGGTAAGTCAACTATCATTGACAACTCGTTTGAAAGGGCTGCCGGAGAGACGCGCACAAACTTCGGGGAAATATGCAAGTTCTCACGCAAAATTCCGGGCCGAATCACTGCCGTATCTGGAAAGTCGCGACCGTAATTATTGTGCTATACGACATTTTGAGGCCTACTCGACCCATGGATAGGTCTTCGATCCCACCAGGATTTTCTTCGATCTTAATTTTTTCGAAGGAATGACACCTGCAATACCATGGAAATATTGGGGTCCCTTCGAACATGATTGATGATAGAGTCGGCGTTAGCGTCAATCGAGGCATTCCCTGCAGTCAACACGATAAAATATCTCGACCCCTAGCTGTTCAGTTCCAGGTCGTTGACGATGGCGGCATTGTGCATTCTCAATGTGGGTATCATAATCTTGCCGTGAATCGCGCCTTATTGTTCCTTCTTTCAGATGTCTGCTCTGAATTTACTGCGAGTGAGCAACTTCCGGCGTGTGCAGGTTTTAAACCTGACACCCACGATAACAGATCTGGAGCGTCTGGTAGTGTGTGTGTGCCCAGTCCTGTGAGTACGTATGCAGTTCAAGTTTGCAATCTATTTGCGGCGAGTTAACTTCTGCCTGAGAGAAGTAAATACGCTGGCGGTGCGAATGCGCATGAAATATGTAAACCAGAAAATAGCCATAATCTGCAGATGCGAATATGAGCACGACATTCAAACAACACCAGGTAGTTACTCACGTTAAACGTGACGAACCCGAAGACGATGCCTAGATTGCGCCAGTGATGATTGTATTTGATGTTGAACCTCGAGTACATGAACTGGTCAGCAGTCTTGGTGAGACAGTACTGGCAGCCCTCTGCGGCTTCGGGATTCGTGAGGTAGCCGCCGGCGAATTCCATGAAGGGACCCAAGTACTTGTCGCACGTCAAACCCTTCGGTGGGTTGACGGAGACTAGTTCCGTAGAAGAGCAACTAATAGATTCACCGCCAATGGCTACGAGGACTGAGATCAAAATGAATGTCCAGCAAAGAATCATTCACGAACCTTGACCAAGGAGACCCTCGATGATGTATGTGAAAGGAGAGACCCTGTACATCCATTTCCACCAATGAAGCTCGTTGAATGGCTGAACTACACCATCACTAATGGACCATCAGAATGACGTAGCGTGATTCAAAGCGTGCATCTCACAAGGTCATGACAAAGATAATGAGAGTTGTGAAGTACATAGATGCAACTGGAGTGGTTGGCGCCATGGACGCAATTCCATGTCCAAGCGTGGTATAGTACAATGGGAAGGCGACAGCGAGCATGAGGAACGTGTAACCTGCTCGGTCTGTGGGGTATCCAACGGTCCAGTAACAACAGAAAAAGAACGTTGCCGAACTTGCCATGTTCCAAGGAAGCTCGGCAGCAAGCTGTGACATGACGAGAGCAGTCCAGTGATATATTCTACTAGGACGTTCACGGATTTCGTACACTGTGCGAATGTCAATGTAGATGGCCATGAGTTGATGGACAAGGGAAACACTGAGCACGAGGCCGAGGAAGATTGACTAATGAGTGTGAACATAGGATTAAGCGACGACAACCTAATGAATGTACTCACAAACAGCTTGTTTTGGGTGCCCTGCAAAGAGTTATCTGCCTGGAAGAATGTAAACCCCACAAGGAGTCCGCCAACGATGTTGAGCACAAACTTGGCGCGGATATACGTAGGATTGCGCCAGTATGCTTGGAAGTTCCGTTGGGTGAGCGTAGTGAACTGGTGCAACCATGTGGTGGCGAAGACAGGATACCGGACACCAAGCTGTCGTGAGCGAGTACGACCATGTTCATGCATCTTTTCGATCTGAACTTGGAGCTGCATTGCTTCTAATGAATGTTTCCATACATCGTACCAATCAGTGGTGGAGACTGCAGCTGCTCCAGCACCGATTACGTCGAGCATGTATTCCGCCCTTAAACTCACTGATAAGCACCAGACCTGGTATGACCACACCTTACTTACGGATTGGCATCGGAACGGCAGTGGGGGGCACCATGACGCTCAAAGTAGTTTAGCATGGTCGACGAGTTCTCGCCAATGTCGCCAAAGTAGACTGTCTGTCCACCCTTCGAAAGGAGTAACAATTTATCGAAGACTTGGAAGAGCTCCGCGGAGGGTTGATGAATCCTGGTACAATTCATAAGCAATGAGACACTCTAAGTAGAAAAGAAGGCTCACGTGCAGAGAATGGCCTGACCGTGGTTAGCAAGCTCACGAAGAAACTGTACAATAGCCCAGGCGGATTGCGAGTCGAGACCAGATGTGGGCTCATCCAAGAAGAGCAAGAGTTTGGGCTGTCAGGCGCTTCAGCACAACTTCAGCCTGGAGGGTTAACATTCTACCTTGGCAGAGAGCTCCACTGCAATGGTGGTGCGCTTACGGTGCTCAACCCCGAGAGAGCCAATAATAGCGTCGGCATATTCCTCTAGGCCACACATTTGAAGGCACTTGTCAACGCTGCATTGGAAAGTTAAGTTGGGATCGAACATGGGCACAAGTCATACGCACTATGCTTCCTTTTCGGCGCGGGGAACTGACTGGGACTGGCGAAGATTAGCAGAGAAAAGGAGCGCTTCACGAACAGTCGCTTCGGGAAGATGAGTGTCCAGTTGTTGGCAGTAACCACTGAATATGAAAGTCAGGTAAGATCGGCGAAATCAGGATGATACTTACGTGCGAGCCTGGAAGTCTACGGGGAGCGGTTGTCCGTTAACGAATCGATCACCAGTTACTACACCGGCACCGACGCGTTGTGCAAGAACGTTTAAGAGCGTTGTCTACAAGCATTGATATAAACGACATGCGTGACTGGTAGGAATGTATACCTTTCCAGCGCCAGATTCACCCATCAATGCGGTGAGCTTTCCAGGGGTAACAAAGCCCGTGACATCATAAAGAAGGCGTTTCATCCCTCCCTCAATTGGGACTTCATACTGCAGGTGCTGCCACGTAAAGAGGTCCGTGACCATAGTGTTCTTCTCGAGATTGTTGAGAGTCGAAGGATCAACTACATCGGAGTAGGATCTAGAATGAAACTCTACATCAACCTTTTCCTCGTCAAGGGCCTTAGCATTCTCATCGATAGCACTAGAACCCTGCTTAAAGAGAACGAAGGCGCTGTCGAAAGCAGACGAAGTATTGAATTCTGTGGCAACTAACAGAACAGCCAACAACCCAAGGTAGAAGGCGCAGAGGACACCAAAGTTCTGCGGTGGTGTCATGAGCTATTCGCAAAGTATAGTACGACCGGCCTACCCTCCAAAGTTGACTATACCAAAAGTCATACGTCAATCCAGCATAGATGTTGCCATCAACGAGGAGCTGCCCGGGCTGTGATCCGACTGTTATACAAACCTGGTTTGCAAGTGGAATATTCTCATAGCCAGGCCCCTGAGGGATGAGAGTGGAGCACACTCCGTCGAGCGTATGGAACTCGTTCACGACAAGTGCACCAAACCCCCACCACATAGGCTAAGGCGGCGGTATTGAGATGAAGCGAAAAGAAGTATCCTACAAGCGGTGACGCACATTCAACCACATGATCCACCGCAAGCCCGTTGGAGCAGTCGGCCAAGGAATTGTGTACCCGCCATAAAACGATATCAAGAGAATGAAGATACCACAAACAGCCATCGCACTAGACCGAGTTTTGAAGCTTGCAGCAATAGCTCTGAAGAGTGACTTCATGGTTTGCGACATTAAGCAGATAAAAAGGTAAAATGTGCTGTTGTGAATCAGTGTGAGTATTAATAACTAAGATTAAACAACATGAAGAACTTACAAAAATTGTGCGGCGGAACGTTGTAACCCAACCATGAAATAAAGGATCGCAGCGAAAACCAGTTGAACGACCAACGTGATCGGAATATCGACGATAGTATGTGCGAGGCTCTGAATGAAAGGGTAATGTAACGCAGCTTTCTGGTGGCGAAGCAAGATCGGGCGCTGGAAGAAAAGTGCAGAAACTTCTGCAACAGATGTGATAGCATTGAAAAACAGGGAGCTGAAAGTGCCGTGAGGCACAACTCAGGTCACGACATGAGAAGGAACTTACAAGAACAGAACACCGCCACGAGAGAAATAGGCCGAGGTGTCATTTCGCACATTGAGAAAGACGGTGCCCAAAATTATCGCTTGGAAGATTTGGGAACTATGCCATAGTGTCAACGAGGGTTAAATAAGGATAATTTCACCTACGCCAGCAGTACAAAGAGCTCTAACTTACTTCCAACAATAACTTGCATCCGGCGCTTCATGGCCGCTGTGGCTTGCTGGGGGATAGAAGTCATATACACAGTGGATGTAGTGGCATGTTCAGCGGCCACGCTGGATAGATATGCCTGCTTGAGTTCGTGATTGCCAACACATTGTTCCCGGTACTGTTCGATCATTTTCTGATTCTGGCGACCGAGGTCGGAACCCATGAAACGGCTAGCAAGGTCCTCCGACGTCCGCGGGACAGAGCTCTTATATCCAGGGCGGATTTTCCTCCCGTTCACGTCTGTAACTGATAACAGTGATTATGAGGCAATCTAAGAAAACAGGAATGCCTTACCTGCAACCAAGAAATCAGGGGTAGTCTGTTTGTATTGTGGTTCGAAGCCCATATCGATAAAATAACCTTTGGCCGATTTTGCTGAACCAAAATAGGCCATTTTGCCATCTGCAATAACACAGACCTTGTCAAACAAATCATATAACTGCTCGCCTGCTTGATAGAGAGAGACGATTGTTGTTGTGCGCGTGACATCTGTGGTTAAACGTAATGTGCGGAGAAACTCAAGGGCAGTCGAGGAGTCTAGGCCACGAGTGGAACTGGATAGGAATAAGTCAGAAGAATACCACCTTAAATGAAAACACCTTACTTATCCCATGCACCAAGTAGGCCTGCAGAACCTAAAGTTTCTGCGATAGAAACTCGCTTTCTCTCGCCACCAGAAATACCTTGAATCTGAGCATTGCCAACCAATATATCTTTCGAACGGTGGAGGCCAAGGACTTTCATTAGCATCGTGGCGGTATCCTCAACATAGTCCTCGCGAGTCTGACCAAGGAGACGTGTTGCGGGGGTACGGTTCCTGACAGCGAAAGAGAGCGTTTGATTGACAGTCAGGGTCGGGAAGTGGATGTCATCCTCCGGACAATAAGTGACATCGCCACGGAAGGAGTTATGAACCTCCTTCGGAGTGAACGAATCATAGGCAACTTGGCCCTCAACGGCATAATACTCCCCACGTTGGTTAGCGAGTGTCTTGAGGAAGGTTGAACACCCAGAGCCGGGCCGGCCAAGAACTACTATACGGAAGGTCAATACTGGAGGTCGGGGGAGGACGTGCACTTACAAAGCATTTCGCCAGGCGTGACCACACCCTCGAATCCGGACAAGATATCTCTAATTGAGGGATGGAAAATTCCCTTTATCTTGCGCAGAAACGTCGAGGGATTAAAAGGTGAGCTCACGGTGGGCTGGAGCGAAGCACGAAAACCTGCACCAACGACACGCAAGTCCTTGAACATGACGCCAAGTTGGCGGTCCTTGATTGCTTCATCTTGACGGCTGAGGGAAAGATAATCAAATGCCCAATTAGATGGTTTGTGAAAATCACCGCGAAAGACTTGCCGTTTCGTGAGGTCTTTAAGTGCCTGCTCGAAATCAAATGCTTTCTCACTGTTAACGGAGATGAATATGTCTGACGATTTCTTGAGGAGTGGGGGAGTGGATGCGTCCGAATGTAGACCTGGAGGTGGACTGTAAACTGGAGTAGGAGCCTGGCTAGCTAAGGAGCCAGGCAGTGTGTCAATAACGACATGCTGTCTTCCTTGATCTCGGAGAGCCATAGTAATTAACAAATGGACCAGGGGCCCCTAGGTTAGTGCCAGTGAGAGGAAGTTTCGGCAGCTTAGTCAGCAACCACTGAAGTGTATCATTATTCAAATATTCACCTTTGTCGCAGCCTTCGTTTCCCTCGACCCTGTCCAGCGGTATTACAATGAACGGCAGGAAAACCTTAGAGGAGAGAAAAGGCTACCCACAGGAATGACAATCTTTTATAGTACCGACCATATGCTACTCGACGGCCGATTCGGAAGTGTTGGTGGTGAGATCTAGAAGCGAATCGATCTCGGACGACGGGGGGTGGACACACCTGTTAGCATTCCGCTTCGTATCTAACATGATAGCAATTCAAAATGGTGGCCACCTTTTGGCCACCTATTACAGGTACATAGTTAGGGATAAACGTAACATTGAACGTACTAACTTGTTCGAATTCCAATGAGGATTATGTATTCAGATGCGTCGGCCGATATACTTCTATCATCAAGGGCTTGCATTGGCAAGTCCACGTGCATGGAGACTGGTTTGGAGCCTTAAACAGAATCAATCACTATTCGCAGAGCGTAGAATAAACGTCAACACCTTCTTTACCAACATATATCAACGTTGGCGGAATAGCAGTATTAGTCTTGACAAGGAAATAGAGGAGGCCAAGACGCAACTTCTTTACATTCTGAGGTCCGTGAGTGGCAAGAGGAACATCGACACGTACGTCTATTTCTTGTTCACGATCGACCGACCTGATCGTGTCTGAGCGGGGTATGAGATGAACGCAAGGCGAACACGTGAAAAGTTAATTGACTAGACTCCAGCGGATCCCCTCTACATACCTTTCTCGCGATAACTCACTTTCCCGGGTCTGAGACGGAAGTACTATCGATCGTGCATGATGCCGTCGACACTGGGTAGCGAGAGACCCCCAAATTCGCATCATCAAGACTAGGTAGGTGACAGCGCCATTTAGCTATGGGCAGCCATCGTAGTGACTTGGACTGATTTTGACCAACTACTACATACGCCGTACGCGACGTACATAGGGAAATTTGAAGGAGCCGAAGTGGGCAGTCGGTCCTACTTCCTCGACATGATGTACCTGGAGTTCTGGACGATTAATTGGTCGCACCCTCCATCGATCCTCCGCCATTTTCATTCCCGCGGAGACGCCGATCCACCAAGGCTAGTAGTGCAGAAGCTAATTCAACGTTCAACAGTGAAAAAGAATGTCGCAGCAATGAGCATCGTGAAGCTTATATAATAGCAAGACTTTATACGGCAGCCAATCAAAATCGTTCCTCATGTTCAGAGATTTCCTGATGGCCCGAAACCCTTCTTCGGACAAATATGCAAGTTCTCACACAAAATCCCGGGCCGAATCACTGCCGTATCTGATAAGTCGCGACTACCCCGATGCCAAGTGTTGCCAAACGACATGTTCACTTTGCGAAGCCTACTCGACCCATGGCTAGGTCTTCGATCTCACCAGACGGTAGAGGCCGGATGATTGTTTCCTGGAGAATAGGCTGAACCGTGGTGAGGTTCTGCACAAATCATGGTTAAAATGCAAGGACTGATTTCGCAGCGTGTTTGCTCGACACACCCTCAATGACCTCGGCGGTATGGTTATTGTACCGGGAGTTTAAAAAATGAGTGACACCTCTAATGACTCACAGGTATTGATATTTTGTTATGTTCGGCGATGGGGGTCAAAGACAGCACCGAGGCAAATGCACTCTGAAGATGCAGGAGAGTGCATAATTAAGCAGCCTCCATTATCACGCTGGGCCGGGGAATAGTCAGTGATCAGCCATTGATTGTTCTCACTCCACACGAAGGAAATATTCGAGTATGAATTAGGGACAAAATTGAAAGGGAAAGTAAACCTTGAGTTGACGAAAAGTTGACGAGAGGAGGACATAAGCAGAACGTTCACTATGCGATCGGCGCGCGCTGTCAGAGGAAATGAATCCCCTAGCAAGGCTAGCATGCAATGTTCAAGCACGATCCGTAATAACCGGATCACGAGTGAAGATCAATTCGTCCTGGGTTCCTGCCCCGTCGTGGCACGTTCCATCAGCCAAGGCTTCCAGGGCCCAGAGGCGAGGAGAAGGATGATAATGCCATCAGGAGAAAAGTCCGACTCGGAATCAAGGTGCTAGTTTAGCTCCGTGATCGGTGCTTTGCAGCTTGTGGCGAACGCCCGACTAGCGGCATGTCTAAAGCTCAGGGATATGTTGCGCCAACCCTGCCAAGTTTTACCCCTTCAAGCTTGTGCTTCTGGTTTCGGGTCAAGTAGGCCCTCAAATAATTAAATAGAAGTAGTGTCTTGTTGCTGTGAAGTGAACTTAACACTGGTTATGGCCGGCAGCAGTTACCTTCCGTGAATTTTCTTGCTTAACGTCGTCGAGCACGCCATGGACGACGAAGCCCAGCCCGTGACGATCTACATAACTTACATTCCCAGTGTTGGCGCGATATTTCAAACTTGGAAGCCCTGTTAAAGCCAATCGAGTCAAGATATTTGAGATGTGATGTCGTCTAAGTGCGTACGATTCTGAAACAGAAAGCATGAATGACTAGGTATGCAGTGTACAGTAGTGAAGGGAAGATCAGGAATACAGTTACTAGCGCTGTATGAAACCAAAGAACACCAACACCAATCAGAGAAAAGAAATTTCCGAGCCTTGATAATGTTATATCACCAAATGTCCTACGGACGAGAAAAAGTTACATTGCTAGCTGTGGCTCGGCTGTATACCCTCCAAAGCCCGGGTGGATGCCTGGTATTCCGAGATTGTAAACCTCTGCGACACCGTTCAGGTGCGGTCCTTCTGGCCAGGAGAACCTTTGAAATCGATCAGTCAAGCTGCAGAGAAGCGCAGACACGAAACATACCCTGGCATCATCATGTTGTTCCACCAAACATCGTTGAGCGCATGCATAGCTGCCAATGTCCCACTCTCCGAGAGCACATCTGCCATCCCAACATCCACATCGTTATCTAAAGTTCCGTGGGTTGGCTGAGTGTGCGAGTAAGCAGCCTCGGACTGTATCATGGGAGTTGCGGAAGGAGGCGTGGCTGCCTGCGATGAAGAGCTCGAAGTGCCTCGGTTGAGATTCATCTGCATGGAATCATTGTCACGTCCTTGCTGTGACATATCTGATGTTGGTCCACCAGAGTATCTCGTTCCTGAAGATGACAACGAAGGTTGCGAAGCAAAGCCACGAGACTCGGGTTGACGAGAAACCTGGCTTTGAGGTGGAACATGTTGAAGACGCCCACCAACAGCACCTCCACCTTTCCTGTGCCTCGTAAGAAGGCTAGCGAGGAATCGAGCATATAGACGTGGTGTGTGGCGTTCATCAATAGCAAGATCTTGAAGCGTCGTGATCAGGCGGCCGATGAGTTCGAATATCTCATCCTCCATCTGACGGGTCAACAGCTGAGCAAACTCAGGACGCAGAAGCTAAGTGGCGAGGTGAGGATAGCGCTACATTGGATACAGAAGCTATTCACCTTGAGCATGAATGCAGAGGCAAAAGACGCAAAGACAAAGTGGCCTTGGAGTATTGTGAGACCAAAAGCATCGCGCATTAGAATAGTATCTTACCATCAGGGGCAGAGCGCATGAGACCACTGGGTGCCAGCACTTCGATCATTTGCTTGATGACCACCTTTGCGGAGTCGAAGCACTATGTAAAGTTCGGTAAGCTGGCTTGGGATACAAGAACACAGCAATGCCGACCTTGTCAAGAAAAACGTTGTCACTAGCCTCCATGCCTCGTTGGAAGGCGTGTTGAAATCCGAAAGAGTACATGACAAGACGTGAATAGCTGACCAAGCTAGATGCACATTAGCTAGTCTCGCAGAAGATCGACACACAAAACTTACAAGGGCAGCAGAGTGCAGCGAAATAAACTTCCGGGATCTAAGGGACAAGGAATGAACACGTGTTGAACCATGGCCTTCTGGAATGAAATCGTACCTCCAGGGTCAGATTCCTCATTAAAGCGCCTGGTCCATTCCTCAAAATAGTTTGTAAGATGACGATCGTGTTCTAACGTAACCTGAAGGAAGTTGATACCCTGCAAGGCCGCCTTAGTTGCGAAGCAGACACCAATTACAGCGCACAAACCTTGTTCAAACCGGTCGGCGAGTGGGGGTCCGAGAAGATATCATCGTGGAACCGGCCCACAATGCGAAGAAGCGTTGAGTAAGCACAGAGGTGAATATCAAACTAATCGGTGCAACTGATCAGCACCCCAAAACGAGACGATATATTTAGAACGCACCTTATCTCTGTAACGAGATTGTTTGTACCAGTCCGCGGAATGACGAGTGATATAGTCCTCCTTAATAGTCGAGGGCTTGCCAAACTGCGTAGCAGTCGATCTGTCGATATTGAAACATATCATCCACACGCGAGTGCGATTCAACATCTCCCGCTCCTGGCGCTCCGTCTGCGGCTGTGTCGTAGAAACCTGATGCAAGTTCAAGTCTGTCGCGATCCTGGAGTGACGTCAGCAAGCTCCACACACTAAAGTGGGTATATTGCATACCGCGCTGCAAGTCCTGTGTACAACCAACTTCTGTCTTCCTCCCACTTGCGAGCTGGGACAGCATAGATGCTCATAAGAATGTAAGCTTGACATAACTCGACGGATTTCCAGCCGTCAATGAGCGCATTAGCCGCAGAGTGCTTCGCAAAGTGCATAGCAACAGGATAGATCTCAGACTTCTCCTTGTAATACCGCGAAGAAATAGCACAGACTAGGCGTCTCAAGTCAGGCATTTATCACATAATGTCAAAAGATTGGTTACGTACTAACTGTGAACAAGAACGGACACCTTTGGAAGATGGATTGAGATGTATGTAACGTGGGATCGAGGAGACCAATGAATGGCTGCAAGACAGATAAGTTGCAACTTCTAGCGATGGAAACATATACTTACATTGATTTGCTTCCAGAATCTACGTTGGCGGACATGCGTCAGCCAAAGGAAATTAAACAAATGTGTGGACTTACATATCAAATAGCCTTTCGACATCAGTGTTGTTCACGAGTCCGTGTTGAACTATCTCCGGCGTATGCTGCTCCACCAAGTTTTTGCGGATATTCAAGTTCGAAGCAGGACCTAATAGGTTGGTGAGAAACAGCATGTATCGTTGTTTCGCGACGGCATCTTACCAGGCAAGAAATACTCCTTATTCGCCACACCCTGCAGTAATTACCGTCATAAACAGGGGCTGGCGTCATGAAACACAACCATCACTTACCACATTGTCATCATCGTCTTCAGGTTTCGTGTTACTTCCACCTGCACCAGTGTTGCCGCCCTGGCGTCCTCTACCTTTACCCTTGTCTTTATCCTTGTCTAAAGACAAGTTTGCAAGCAGCCCAATAGGCACAGCAGCATCAGGGAGCGTGTCCCTAACTTTCTCGACGTCCTCTTCTTCGACAGGACCCTCTTCGGCATCGGGATCGTCATCCTCGGAATCATCCATAACAACAGCAGAAGGGTTGCGCAAGTTACGAAGGAAGTTAGGGTCGGTAGGCGCAGCCATTCCCGGTGACCTTAAACTAGCCTGAAGACGATCAAGCCAGTCAACAACGTTCATGTTGTCACTGTCAGACGGCGAAGTCGCTGCTTTGTAGGACGCAACCGAAAGCGGCGTCGCAAGGTAAGGGTTGTGCAACTGTTCGACAAAGGGTGTCAGTCACTGACGATATCAAAGTATCATGCCAAACGACCCACCTGCTTCAATAGAGACTCTATGATCTGGTCTTTATGGCGGATCTGAGCCAAGAGGTACTCTCGTTTGCTAACACGGGGAGGGTTGTATGAGTATTGCGACATCGTGGACGACATAGTATTAGAGGATGAAGACGATGAAGACGAAGACGAATCAACAGATGAAGATCGCGAACGGGGCATGTGAAGAACAGCCAACGAACACAAAACAGGGGGGAGGATGATTGATCACCAAAAAGCATCGAGGTTTAAATAGGCACCAAGGCAAATGCGATGATCGACAACCCGAACGCAAGACTAGCACGACTTGTGCTTGGTTCGAAGTATGAAACGACAAAAAGAGAATAGCGGAGACGGCAACGGAAAGTGTGAAAAGATTGACGGAATGAGATGTCCGAGAATGAAGAATATCGAAAGATGTCTCGAGGCCGGCACAGATCTCGTGATATGCTCGAGTTCACAGCTGTCGTATCCCATTTGACTTAGCGGGAAGGCCAGCTAATGCCGAGACAAGCGTAAAAAAACAGTCGGTACAAAAACATGCCCCGGTTCCAAAAAAAGAACGACAAGTTACGACATCCGAAATGAAGGATGATCGTCGCCTTAAAATCAGAAGGACGAGTTCAGGGACTTACTTTGGCGCCGTCCTGGGCTTACGACCCTCTACGATGCATGGGTGCCCTCCGGTGGCACAACGCTTGCAAGTGCTAGCCCCATCCGGAAAGTCGCATTTCATCTGTAATGTCAACCGGAGACGAACGAAACAGCAAACCGATGTTAGAGATCGAATGAATAGGTACGGATCGATCAGATGAGGTCAGTCACAATTACAGGACATCCAATCCATACCAAACGAGGAGTACGGTCCATTTCGGGTGGAAAAAGTCAAATTCCGATAATCAAAGGGTCCAAGTGCCGGCAACGCGGCGCGCAAAATGTGCGGGGTACGTCGCACATTTGAGTCGTGCCGAGTGGAGGATATTGACGGTTCCGAATAGAGAAATAGGAGGTGTGCATGACATAAGATGTGGATGGAAGCCCACAGGTGTGATGAATGCACGAGCCAACACCGGAGGTTAAGAAATCGTAGTTGCAGGAGAAACGATGATGCCGTACGATGGACCCACAACAGCCCCAGAAAGGAGAAGCGGCAGTCCAGAAGGAGGGCCGAAGTAGTAATGGCACGAGTTTTCGTCGAGGCAGACGTCAAACATCGAGGTATGTTCGGAACAGAGGTACGCCGGAGACAACATGAATTCATGACGAAATGCATCGTGGCGTAGATTGCAAGGATATCGATTCATCATGGATAGGAGAAGAGAAACGAGAATGTGGTAAGCAATCAGATCGTAGCACCTCGAAATATGGAAAGGAAGCGCGGAAAAGGAAAATAACGTACCTTCAGACGTTTGCAATGTGTACACGCTCCAGTTCTGCAGCGGCATTCGTGAGAGTGCAGAATCAGAAAACGATGGAAGAGGTAGAAGATACGTAGTAATAGTTGGCGCGGAAGTATCGCCGAGCCGAAAATATGGAACGTGTGGGGCAAGACACGCCAGAGACCAGTGCCGGATAGGAATAAGTCCATTAGGCAAGAAAAGGCGTCATCATTGTCGGCGCGTGTATTTTCACGAGGAAATCACCCCAGAAGAACAAGTCCAGACACCGTACGGATAGGCGAAAAGCATGACGACAAAAGCGTGTAGAACGTGCATATAGCCGGGTCACACGACAAGAGGTTGTCAAACCGGCAGAATGACGAAATCAAGAAGCGGGCCACGGAATTAGAGCAAGTTAAGACCAGCCAGGATGTCGAGTCGGCAATGTAAGAAGGCGCGGTGACGTCGAGTCGGCGTCAAGAGTTTAGCGTCGGTAACAAATGTAGCCGGAGCGGCAAGACAGAAAAGGTAGCCGGTGTCGGGAAGTCGGCACAGGAACATCGCCAGATAGCCGGTTCGGGTTGTGTGTGTCAATTGAACAAGGTTGTTTGGAAGGTTTAGCAGTAGGGGATCCGCAGCGATCAGAAATCGAAGGGCCAAGACATACGTTGCGCAAGCAGAACAAGTGGAGATAAAGAGCAGCCAAAAAAGTTGAAAAGAGGAAGATTTACCATAGCCATCCGCACCGAGGAACAAGGAGTAGGAACACCAATGAAAAAAGCAACAAAAAAGGGGAAGAACGATCAAACGTAGAATGGCACAAGTTAAAGCACATCCGACCAGCGCGCATTGCAGACCGGAATGAAAAAAAAAGAATGACAGTGCCATCACAAACGAAAGATTTGAGTAAACGGAAGGAGCAAGCACAATTGACAGGCGCGAACATTCATGTAGAATGCAAGCAAATGAAGCCAACGTTCCAGATGGCGCGATGTCAGCGGAAATTGTGTGTGATAAAGAAAAAAAGAAACCAGGACCAAAACCAAGATCATGATATAAGGATAGAGCACAGCGCAGGCGGCAAGCAAGGTTCCATCCAGCATGCAAGGTCATGCATGCATCAAGGTCATATACACGTCCAAGGTTAGTCCGGTTGTTTTGGCCGCAGTAACACCGTTAAAGAGTCACCAGAAACATACATTCGGATGCAATGTCGATCGAGTTAGTTAGTATCGGGGCCATCAATTGACATAACCAGGAGCAGTCGTCATCAGGGCCAGCAGTATCGAGCGTGCACAAGATCAGAACAGTGACGTCGCGCCGACACAAACGAGTTTAGTGACCACACAAGCGCCATCGGACCAAACCATTTGCAGAAACACGACCCCAGAACGACGCGTCCACGAAGCAGGCGAGGAAACAGAAAAGGAAGAAAACGTACAAAACACAGCCCGATCAGCACACTATTCCCGATTCGATAAAAGTACAAAGTCACTGACTTGCGTTGACCCATCCCTGTAGCCGCGCCTTGCGGAGGCATAGATGGTCCAGCCCATTCTACTACGTCGTCATCATCGCTGTCATCATCACTGTCACCACCCCCACCCGCGCCTTGAGATGTTGATGGCCTTGGTCGCTTTGGAGCACGGGCTCTTCGGGTTGCTGCAGGCCGAGCAGCGGGCGGCTTCGGTACGATTGCAGGGCGTGCAGGACCTGCCTGAGACATTGTGGTCGTTGCTGCAGTAGTAGGCATGATCGTGCGCGGGCGCATCTGCACACGCTGTTGTGGTTGTTGTTGCTGTGGCGCTGCTACGGTTGGCGGCGATCCTGGGGTCACAGTCGAGATCGACGAAGTCGCAGCATGGCCCATACCCTGAGAAGCCATATGTACGTTACCCGAGCTAGCAGATGAAGCCGGATGCCCCGAAGACGAATCGTCGAATGAGGAGGACGTAGGGTGGCTTGCGTACGAGGCCGGGGAGACAGAGTCGTGAGAGCGAGGGAGTCCAAGCAACGGGCCTGTTTGTGTGGGAGGTAGAAAAAGAAGAGATAAGCGTCAGCATGGTGCGCTAGAAGATACGGAACCCCGCGATAGATGGTAGCAAAGAGATGTGACAACACGGAAGTACAAAGATGATGCTCGGGTACGATGGGTCAGCTATGCCGGGGCGCTAGTTTTGGCCGTGAGGTGATCGATTAGCGCCGTTAGCGCATATATAACGCGTAGATCGCCATAACCTGCCCTGCATCCCATGTCATCCAGATAACGAGAAGGTAGTGCGAGTGCTGGGGCAACAACCCATTGCATCCAAAAGGGGCTTACGAAGTTTCATCATGTAATATAGCACAACGAAACCTTGAGCATTGACCCCGCATCAGCAACGAAACCAATCACGCCTCCCCCCGTTCTTCTATATGAAATAGAGCCGATCTCTTGATAGCGATTGATCAAGAGCTCCGTCCACAATATGCCTATCAATAGCTTGAGCAGCACGCAGCCAATAAACATGCATCACGTGTTCGAGAACAGGCGTTGAGTTAAGCCAGCGCCAAAACAAAATCGAGAAAACGCTCCCCGTTCCTCAATATAGCTGTTGATCTCTTGAGCAAAGTGCCCAGAGCTTCGTCTAGAGAGCTATCAATAGTCATCGGCACCGCACCAATATCAAATCGGGAGTGCGCCTTCCCAATTTCAATATCAAGAAACATAACAAGCGAAATCAAAACAACGATTGAAACAAAATACACTCACCCCCATCACTAGAAGGCGTATGCGAATTCGTAGGTGGCGTATGAGGCCCAAACGTCGCATAAGGCGAGTGTGGAGACATTGAATGCGCGTGTGGCGTAGGCGCGGGCGCGTGAGTTGAATGCTGTCAATCAATCAGTGATTGAAGCGAGCGATGATCGCAAATCGGGAGGAAATTGATGAGAACGTTTCCGCGGAGGAGAACAAGGGGAGGATAGCATGAAACGATTGTCCGTCAGCGCAATTCAAGATCAAAGACGAGAATGAGGTGTGAAGTGTAGAGGAAGGTACATGGGCGCAGAAATATCCACGTCCACGTACGCTGTCCAACCCCGAAAAACCAGAAGAGAACGGGGTACAAAGTCTAGGAACAGTACCCCCATACACTGGCGCATATATGCATGCCATCCAACCAGTATTTGAAAAACGAGCCCGCGTGTCCGAAATACAAACGGAAGCGAATGAGACCCGAAGTAGAAGGAAAGAGTGTATCCCATCGCGATCAAAGAATAAAGATGAGAATGAGAATGAGAATGAGAATGAGAATGAGAATGAGGCAAGGTTCACGAATACCGTCCAAACCCCAAAAACATGCACAAAGTATAGGAAGAGTACCCATACACTGGCGCATATGTGAACGCGAGGCACGATTAATAGGGGGAGTACCCATATGAAGGCGCATACATCCATGTTTACGTTAAAGAACACTCACAAGAGTAGGCACACTCCGACTCCCTTGCGTGTTCATCGCATAATACATATCGTTCTGGAGGTAATACGGGTCTGGCGGCCCCGTTGGATAGTGTTGAGACTGTTGGGGTGGATTCGGAGGGGCGTGGACCTGAGGTTGGACATGAGTTTGGGTCGAAACATGAGGGTGCGATTGCGACGGGACGTGAGGATGAGATTGGGTTGGAACGTGGGGGTGCGATTGAGACGGGACATGAGGATGATGGGATTGTGTCTGGCCATGCGTGAACTGGCTCTGTGGCCTCGCCTGGCTCGTCTGACCCTGGGAAAACTGTGGGGTAGGCGGGAATTGAGGTTGCTGAATTTGGAATTGGGACTGGGTTGGTGGAGGCGAGAAGTGGGGTTGGGATTGCTGAGCTGGGTATTGCTTCTCAGGTTCTATTGGTGAGAACTGGCCTTGTGCGATTAATTGGGTAGTACGTTGTGCAGCGAGGGCTTGGCCTGTTGGCTGTGGTTGAGGAGGTTGGGTTGGTGGAGGATTGGGAGGAACAGAAGGAACTTGGAGTTGAGGGACCTGTGAGTATTGATGTTGCTGGAAAGGGTACTTCATCAGAGGAAGGAAAGAGAAAGACGAAAGAAATATGAAATGAAGAAAGTGAAGATAAAGGGGATTCGGACGTAAACGGAATAGGTAAGTAATAATCCAAAGGATAGAAAGGAGGCAGACACCTCGAAAGCGTAAATCACGTGAGAGGGTGATTCAAAGACTTACCTGGCTTTGCGCGCCTCCCTGCCTATAGTATCCAGAAGACCGGGAACCACCACGTGCCGAACGCCGTGGTGCGGGTATAATGGGGCGCTGTTGCAGCTGCTGTTGCTGTTGACCTTGACCTTGAGCAAATGAATACTGGGTTGTCCCTGCGGCTTCGAAATCGTATGGCTGCTGCTGGAAGGTCGGGTGTTGTTGGGGAAAGTATTCACCTCCTGGAGGTGTAAACTGGGTGTCCCAAACGTTGAGAGGTTGCTGAGCAGGAAAGCCGGAGGCTTGAGCGGGGTCATAGAAGGAAGAGTTGGCGACGATCATCTGAGAGTTTGGAAACCACTGCTGGTCACCTGTTGTTGCTGGTGTGGTTGTGGATTGGTGGAAAGAAGCAGAAGAAGAAGAAAGGGAATGTCCTTGAGTGCGTGACTGGTTATCTTGTAGTTGTTCGCTCGCTATCGTAAAAGTTAATTAGTTTCAATGTAGTGGAGGAGTGGGGGACTTACATCCGGAGGGTTGGATTGCGGAATGAGTTTGATCGACGTCAGCTGGGGTTCGGCGGTTTGACATGCCGACTGAATCCTCGTTTGATTAATAGAATTAAATGTAGATCGAGTCCAGTATCGTGTCTTGAAGGGTAAAGTCGTGAAAGATGATGAAAAGTCGTATGTCGGATTCAACAATTATGTTTTGTCTTTGGACTGAAAATAAGATCCAGAGCAAATCCTCCCTTAGTCGTCCTCGAAGATAGGTTCCAGACTCCTAGCGTACGTCTCTTCTATCCAAGTTCCCCGGGTGTGCGAATCACCGGGTTCAATCAGAGTCGCGTCACTGATGATAATTCGTGTCTTTGTGGATTGTTCAGCGAACGAGTTGCGGCACACGCATTAATGTAATGCATGCAATGGCTTGAATGCTTCGAACGAGGACAAGACGACGTCGACAAGAAAATGAATGCTAAACACATGGCTGCTCTTTATTTAACTAATCCCACTCCCGTAAAAGCTAGCTGCACTCGATAATTAACCGCCGTCCAATCACAACTTGATAATCCTAATTTGTTTCCGCGGCTCCGGTCATTCATCCCTAACCGGTCATCCTTCCTTAACTCGGCGTCGGTCTGTGACCGTCTGTCTTCACTGTTTCACAGCCCCCGGTGCACAATCCTCTCAAGAATCTGTGTAAAAAACATATGTTCTTCAATATGTCTCGCACCGCAAAAAGTCCACTCGCTCTTTGCCGAATTCAAATAACGTATCATAGTCCTACCGTGACGTCCTCTCGCTCCGTGCTGTGCCATCTCTCCCGAGATACTTGCTCTATCCTGCAACCCATTGGTCACTTTTGACGCGACAGCTTTAAATTTTCAAAGTACCGCATGGTTCATCGTGCTCGTGCCTTACGACGATCCTCCACGACCTCTTCTTTTACACCGCTCGCTACTATTTCAAGGGAGCAATTCTCGTGCTCCCCGTTCATCCCCGCTCCTGGTACGCCCACCTTTATATACTCCCATGCTTCTCCGCGAGCGCATCAGTTCAGTTCAATTTATAAGTATGTACACTCTCTTTCAAATTTCAACTTTTTACATGTCCCACTTCAACTCTTTCATTTTCATTCATATCTCCCACCTCACGTGATCCTCGATCGTCAGGTTTTCACATTCAACAATCGGGTGCCGCATCGCCACGATACGTAGCTTGTCCGTCACTTCGGCTGCACCCCCGCCACGATGCCCTCATACCACGTCACACTTGGGACCACGCCACGCTTCTTTCCTAACATCCCTCACTTTGCCCCCCTCTAGCTATGGAACACTTTACACCAGTATTGTATCCTGCCCGACCGATACGCCCCACCGGGAGATACTTCATTACGTTTCATTTCCGCGCCCCACGCACTCCGTGTCGCATCGTACATCTTTGGAACGCTTTGCCCCACATCGTCGCATCCACGAAAGCGCTGGCAAACGCGTCTCCGAGTTACATCTGTGCGAACGACGCGTTCGCGTGCGTACGTAAGTACATTAGTCAACGCTATCAATACTCATCCTGATTCTGCTTCGAATTGTTGTCTCGCCCGCGTTCGTTATCTTCTTCCCTCGCCCGTCACGTCTTACCCGTCACCTGACAATGCACGTTCATCAACAGTACTTGTTCTAGCCTAGCCTAGTCCTCAATCCGTCGGGTGGCGTAGGCACAACTCACAAGCTTGGAAAGCGCAGTCGCCCAAAAATAGTATTGGTGTCTATCACGCTCATAACCTTTGCAGTACTGATGCTGGCGCTGGCGCCGACACTGAGAGTTCGAACGGACCAAGTTGATTTGAATTTGCATCGAATTAATCCATATCACCCGACAGAATCCGAACGAGTTCTCCCGCCTTCTTCTCCTTCTCGACATCCCACCCTACGCATCTCATAATGATCACAGCTGCAACGCAGATCCCCCAGCTTAAATTGTGGCACCGCCGCCGCTCCCTTTCAGCGTCTTCCATGGATTCGGATTTGCACTCGCCAAAGACAGTGCTACTAGAGGGCTCACTCACTCACGACAAGATTTCCGTCGGAACGGACTTCGGAACGCGTCGTTCTGCATCTGATCCCCACATCCCAACACTAATATTAATCTCGATCGCTATATACAGGAGGTGGCACCGCATGCAGATGCACATGCCTGCGTGATCTGCTCTGCTTGTATCAAGTTCGAAAGATCCGCTACTGTAACTAATAGCAGCTATCGTTTGAACTTCATACGGGCAGATCCTCCCTTTTTTGCACGTGATGATCGAAGCTCTGGGGACTAGAGGCGCGCATGCATATGCATACGGTACGGCAAGATATGTATGTGTATTGGATGGGATGACGGGATACCCGCGGCTTTGACTCCGAGGTGCATGCAGCGGAAACTAAAGGCCAGTACCAGCCAGGCGACGTCCATACTTGTTCTTGGAGTTGATCTTAGAGTCATAGCCATCCGATATCACATCGTGTCACTTGAGCTTGGCATGTATATGTAGATCCTCATCCCCCCATGCACACGCTGGAATTCTTACCCGCGGCTTAGCGCTGAGAGTCCGAGGTTCTACCTATCTGCAGACGGAGTAATTTACGACGAGGAGCTTCAGTATAATTATAGCTTGGTGTAGACGTTCACTGTTGACATCCTCCCTGATTCAATATATTCAGCTCCGAGGGGATATAAATATTGGGCAGAGGTCGATGTGTGGTTTGGACGGCGCGATTTACCCGATATTTAATGTTACGAGTCAGTATATGCACTTACTTCATTACTTGGTTTCGGGAGAAAGATAAGTACTTGCTTATGATAGGCAGTCCTTCTTGACCTTGTGCCTCTGTAGGAGAATCACTCGATTTTAGAGTCTGGCCTGGGATTGTATGTAGGTCAGCGCTGGGCCAAATTTAAAGACTCATATCCTTTTCTCCTTTCATCGATTTGTTTGTTTTCCGGTCGTGTTTTGACGCTGAAGCGCTGAAGAGTTCTTCGACTTTCTTTCTCATTTGAAATTTCACGTGCACATGATTTAACCTCGGCTCGGCAACTTCCATCCTTCCCTTTGCCGGATGCTTCCAAAGTCTCGTCGATGGTTTTGGTTTCCTTCTTCGAATCATGGTTAGCCCACGTGCACGCCCAGCGCTGAGCCTCATTAATTGTGTTCAAGCGCTCAAGTCACGACACTTTAAAACCGCCCACCACGTCATTTCTGGCGTTTCTAACAGGTTGTTCTGGTTGCACATTCGGTGTTGGAAGCAGGTGTCTCAATGGTTTCGATCATCGAATTTGCTACACGAACACTTGCACCGTCATGGATCCTGAGTATTTGGTGTTTTGCGTTTGCTACGACGATGCGTTGAATATTCACGGATTCAAGTAGCTGAGGTCAAGACTCGAGATGTCCCTCCTCCGATGCTCTTGGTTTGTGGAGGGTCCAGCATCGATGCACGGCTGATTCTTTCGCAGACCATGATCATCTGCTATGGGATGGGGATTGGGCACCGCTGTCGAGTCTCGATTGACGTAGGCAGTTCAAGCCTCAGGGCACCTTGGTGTGTTCACATTTTGGTTGTATCTTCTTGACTTTTTTATTTTTATTTTTAAGATTCATCTCTGCACTTGCTAAGGCCAAAGCTTGGTTCAAGTCACGCGCACGGTTGGAATATACGCATTATCACGAAGTCCCCAGTTACTGATACTTATACTTATATTGTTACAAAGTCAGCGTTGTTTCGTATTTCGCTGGATTGAACGCTGATTAACTATTCTGAGCAGCTTCTAGCCATGATTGTGACTATCAACGAAGTCGAGGCTCGGCCATGAAAAGTCAAGCAACCAAGGCTGGGATATTCCTGCGCCAATACTGGGTGCTCATTTTCATCTCTCATTTCTCATCATCTGATATCACTATCGTAGTGCAAGTCACACGGGGCCGGGCCGTTTCGAAGGATTCCAGACCCAAGTAAGTCTAGCATTTTTCTCTATGTCTTCTCTGTTCCTTTTCGGCACCGCTGGCGCTAATTATCGCGGGGCCCGCTCAACGGTGTTGTGTTGTTCGCGTTCTAGTCTCTTTTCTTCTTCTTATATTCAGGGGCCGCCGGTACGAGGCTTGTTACGGCTGGACTATACATAATATGGGCTCGGCCCGTCCACTCATGTGGGTGCTAGAATCTCCGCATGCTGATTTTGCACAGATCACGGACTTGAGCTATAGTGCATGGGGCTTTGGATTGGGAGCGGCTGGAGTGGCGGTGCGGTGGTGTGCCAACTAGGGAGATGCTGAAGTCAATATGTAGAGACGAGTAGGGAGCTGGGCAAAGCGATAACTTGACAGTTTGACGAAGCTGTGGCCCGGCAATCTCCGGAATCAATTGGAAAAGGGGCTTTTTTCCAACTTTTTTCGTCTTCTCCCGTGTCATCATAATTCGTGTCTTCGAGATCAACCAAGAACCTTTCTTGTGTCGTGGATCCATGATTTCTCATTTTGGAAGAACCACTCTGTAATATCGCAGCGTAGCTGCGCTGCCATATCCTGATTTCGTTTCATACAATGAAATTTTACGCTATGCATTGGTGAATCACCCCCTCTTTCAATACATGCACTGATCTGCTATGGTATAGACTCACCGAACGGTACAGTGTCGCGATAGTCAAAAAATGGGGAACAAATACGCCATTGAACTTGGTGCCCAAAGATTGGTACAGGTTCATTCGTCCACGGCCACCTACTACTGCGTCCACATCAGAATGCTTGCGCACACACAGAGATACCTCGAACACGTTCAAGCTCGATGTGAGGAAAAGACTTTGTTTTAATCTGGAGCTCAATTCCTTCTACTTAACCCATCGATAGCTTGGCCTTGCTTGGCCATGGTATTCTACCGGCGACTCCGAGGATGATCAGCGGTGTAAGTGCTTTTGGTGGCCGTTGACTTATGTGAGACCTGCGGCCGACACGTGTCTGAGTACCAAATACATCTCCTCGCGCTATCCGCAGGAATGGAACACCCTTTGACATATGGATCCGAGTTAGTCTCTGTGATCAGAGATTTTAGAAAACGGCTCTCAGCACTGACAGCTATCACGGATCCTCATTTGTTAGTCGATGTTCTCGGAGACCGCGTCGCTCCCCAAGGTCAGGTTTCCATCGCGCACACGCAAGACTCGGAATCCGAGGGTTATCGATGCTGGTCGCTGCATGTATGGAATTGGTATGAAGGTGGTCAAGATGATGTAGGCGTCTCCTCTCGTCTATCATTCAGAAGTTCACATTTGACCTTTCAAAGGACATATGTGTGGTTGGCGAAGGCCCGGCTTTCTCGAAAATTTCTTTCTCGCCCAAGAGAAGCTTTTAGCTCTCACAGCGCATGGTGATATAGAGCTTATGACGCCGAGGACCTGTCAAAGGCACCACGGCTTCAGGCAAGGTTTGCGCTGCCTATCCGTACAAGGATAAGGGACTCTGAATGATCAATGGTTATTATTAAATATCCGTGATCCTTCCGGTTGCGCACATCTTGTGGCTCCGGATTCGTGAACGTTGGATTTGAACAATAAGCCCTGCAGATCGTGTCATAATTTTATCATATCCACTCGTCTGTTTTTGATGGATATTCCTCTGACGTGGTTCAACGCGACTTTAGAAGAAGATGGGCTGACCATTCCGTGGTCATCATGGTGTCTGACCAATATATTATTAGTTGTATAAATTGCCTACTCATCCATCTCGATCGTACGAGCAACACGACCATTGCACCATCAACACACCCTCGATCCGTATGTCATCTTCCTGAATGCAGTAACACGCCAATTATGCCTCGATAACAGCTCTATGCATCATCATTCTATCGAGGTCAACAATTACCAACATGGAAGACTTGCATGCTCAATAAACCTCCGTTTCTACAAGTAAAAGGTGCTCATCAAAGGTTGTAATCACTGTGATGTACTATACAACGAAATCTGTACTCTTTCGTTTGTCAAACATGTGGATGCGTTCTATAACAAGACTCCCATGATAATCCGTGAGCCATATGACTGAGATCTAATGGATGGTTGAGCGCTGGGATAACCCACCGCATCCCTAAAGGGCACCACCGGGGATTATAAGTTGGAGGGACCCAAAACAAAAGCTTGTCCTTCGGTCCGATCACAGCCCATCTGTCATGTTTCCGAATCCTCACTGGGAGTGTCGATGTGCCTTGTGTTGGAGCAGTGATTTCGTCGAGAAGTGCAGCGGTAGCATCGACAAGAGGATGTCCTGGATGCAGGGAGAAACATATGAGGTGTGGCTGCGGGTTTTCGGGAGTCTCGACATCCCACAGCCGCATGGTGTTGTCGTATGACAGTGACATGATATGTTGACCATCCGGTGAGAACGCAACAGATATGACAGGACCTTCATGTCCTTCGAGAGGTGGCCTGAGCGGCTCACCAGTCTCGGCATCCCACAAACGAATGGTGGTGTCGTGTGACCCCGAGACGATGCGCTTGCCATCCAGCGAGAATGCAACAGAGTTGACAGCCTTCTCATGTCCCATGAGAGGAAGCGGAAGACGCTTACCAGTCTCGACATCCCATAACCGAATGGTCTTATCGTCTGACCCTGACACGATGTACTTGCAATTCGGAGAGAATGCAACGGATCGGACCACTTTCTCATGTCCCACGAGAGGGGGGATAAACAACTTGCCAGTCTTGGTGTCCCATATTCGAACGGTACAGTCCTCTGACCCCGACACAATGTGCTTGCCATTTTGAGAGAATGCAAGGGACCGGACCTGCTTCGTATGTCCCACAAGAGGTGGGCTCAACAGGTCACCAGTCTTGGCATCCCATAACCGAATGATACCCTCGTATGACCCTGACACGATGCAGTTGCCATCCGGCGAGAATGCAACAGAGGTGACAGGACTATTGTGTCCTTTGAGAGGCGGCCGGAGTGGCTTAGCAGTCTCGGAGTCCCACAACAGAATGGTGTTGTCGGATAACCCCCATACAATGCGCTTGCCATCAGGCGAAAACGCAACAGAGGCGACATCATTCTTAGGTCCCTTGAGAGACGGTCGGAGTGGCTCGCCAGTCTCAGCATCCCAAAAGCAAATGTTGTTGTCGCGGGACCCCAACAAGCTGGGCTTGCCATCCAGCCACTCGGAGAATGCAGCAGAGAGGATGAAATCATGTTGCATGAGTGGTGGCTGCAGCGGCTCCCCAATCGTGGACTCCCACAAGCAAGAGGTACAATCCTCTGATCCAGACAGGATGCGCTTGCCGTCCGGCGAGAATGCAACAGAGGTGACATCACTCTCATGTCCCACGAGAGGGGGGATCACCAACTTGCCAGTCTCGGTGTCCCATAACCGAACGGTAAAGTCTTCGGACCCCGAAATGATGTGCTTGCTGTTTGGAGAGAATGCAACAGAGGTGACACATTGCTCATGTCCCTTGAGAGGTGGGCGCAGCAGTTTGCCAGTTTCGGCATCCCACAACCGAATGGTCTTGTCGTGTGAACCTGACACAATGTGCTTGCCATCTAGCGAGAATGCAACAGACGTGACAGTATCATCATGTCCCTCGAGTGACTGGAACAGCTCGCCAGTCTCGCCATCCCACAACCGAATGGTGCGGTCCCATGACCCCGACACGATGCGTGTGCTATCTGGCGAGAACGCAACGGACGTAACAACTCTTGTGTGTCCCTTGAGAGGTGGTCGCAGAGGCTCGCCAGTCTTGGCATCCCACAACCGAATGGTATTGTCATGGGACCCAGACACGATGAGCTTGCCATTCGGCGAGAATGCAACAGAGGTGACATTCTTTTCGTGTCCCTCAAGAGGTGGCCGTAGCGCCTCGCCAGTCTCGGCATCCCACAACCGAATGGTCTTATCCTCCGACCCTGACACGATTCGCTTGCCATCTGGAGAGAATGCGACAGAGTTGACAGTCTTCCCATGCCCCACGAGAGGAAGAGGAAGACGCTCGCCAGTCTCGGCATCCCATACCTCGATAGTACCCCCCAATAACCCCGACACGATGCGCTTGCCATCCGGAGAGAACGCAGCACACTTAACAAAGGAACGTGCGCGCATCACCTGCTGAATCACCGGCCAGGATACATTGTGGCCAGAAACGATGCGCAACACTGAAGGAAATGCATTTGCGAACTTCGTGAAGATGCGGGACTCCTTTGGTGAAAATGGCAGCGCGGATAGGTATAAATGGGGGGTACTGAAAGAAATGGGGAGGCCGAATATGCGAATGAATCTCTGGGCATCTGCAGCATCGTCTGAGATATCTTTGCATTCTGTTGAGTAGGGCTGGTTCACATCAGAACAACTGTGTAGATAATAAGGTCGCTTGGACAAACCTTGACCCACTCAATCACAGATAACAGCGAGCCAGCGGTTGTGTTGATCATCTTGAGCAGACTCAGCGCTTCAAACCAGAAGAGTAAACGCTCGTGGTTAAAGAATGCTCGAACCGCATAGGCGAGGCGCAAGTGAAATGCTGCCTGACGCAGATGATCGGTCCAGAATCGACAGGAATAGGACAGCTCTGGGGAGATGTGCTGTTTGACTCGTTCATCCAGGTCGGAGATATTGGAATTAGGGAGGTAAGAACTAGGTAGTCCGCATATGTTGAATCGTAGTTCATGCTCCATGACTCCAAGGGAGGCAAATGCAAGATCTTTGTGGACGCTAGATGTGTCGACAAAGAACTCGCCACTCCGCTTTCTATCTGTGAGAAAATCGGGAAAAGACGCATGAAGGGGGCGGACAACAGCAGATGGATCAGCAATTCCGCTCAGTAGAGCAGCCATGGGTTTCACAATCGCAGGAACGATGTCTGGGTCGTTCTCCTGGAGGAAATAGTGTCTCAACGAGCGCAATGAAGTGAGAGGGAGTGGCTCCAGTGTTCCTAGCACTTGCGCCATCACGGAACGGAACCGAGCAAGACGCGCCTTACGCTGCGGCAGATTCTGCGGAAAGATTGATTTCAGCGTGAGTCTGTACATCTGGTCAAGCAGTGGGACTTCATCACGTTGGTGATGGCTTGTGATGGCTTGAAAACGTTCACGTGCAGTTGACCCAGGGTCGTTATCTCGCTTGATATATGTACAGGCGAGACGCGCCCACTCAAAGAGACCGCCAGCTTCACGTGCGAGGGAGGATAAGAGTTTGTCACCATGCAAGCCGTCCACATCTGAGAGTTCATTGGTGACATAGTGCAGAATGTCACCCTCAGTCGACGTAGATGGAATACTATCCATGGACTTTTGTCGCACATGCTTGACTCCATCTAACGCGTTGTAGATGTCTGGTAGAGGTCGTGATGTGAGAAGAATGCGGAAATTGGGAGAGAGCTTGGTTATGCAGCTTTCTTCGTCGACTTTGCCAGCCAGGATTCGAAGAAGATGTTCGCGTGTTTCATCATCGCCACTTTCATCCAATGCCTCAATGACAATCAAGGTAGGTCCTACCATCGCCTCCGAAAGCTTTGATGCAGGCTTCATGATCAACTCTTTCCACTGCTGCATGATGTCTGGCGTATTCGCAAGCGAACTGTCATGATGGACAACATCTGCTAGCGCGTGTCGCATTTGCTCGTCGCGGTCAGCGAGACCTCGTGCAATTGTCGTGAAAACTTTTTCATGACGTTGTTGGGCCACTCGAGTACGGTCAAAGCAATAGCAGGACCCCAAGCGTCCGAGCCCTCGAAAACGATCTGCAATCGTGTGGGCGATAGCTGATTTGCCCGTGCCAGCATTACCATGCAGCCAGAATACACGAGGAGCGTCATCCTCAGTGTTGTTGATCCAAGTCGTGATCTCATCCAGGATTGCCTCTCGTGTTCCCAGCAAACATTTCTTTCTCGTGTCCAATCCTGCTCCTTCTGCACATTTCATCCCGCTCAGGTCCGCGCCCTCGACTTGAAACAATGATGTCAGATATCATCAAGGTTCCGCCACATGAAGCACTTACTCAGCTCCTGAATGCCTTCCAACATTCGGTGCACGACCACCACCGTGTCTCGAACTGCCCTATCACGAAACTGTTGCATGAGGTCATCGAGAACGGTGTTGTATCTCTTTATTGTCTCATCAGTTTCCGATACCACGTTTCTCCCGAGCCTAGCCCCTGCCAGAACAGCTCGTGTGAGCTCCCTGACGACCATATTGCTTGTCGACTCACAGAAATTCTTGCTCTTGGAGTAATCGCGAATGAAATAGGAACACTCGAGCGTCTGCTGACATATCTTCGTGACGAGAGTTTTCATTGTCTTGATGTTCTCCAGGTCCGTCTCTGCAAGAAAAATATATACCTCATCCATTTTTGAGAGGAGTTGCCGGAGAGACTCGTCGCGAGTTGTCTGAGAAATGATAGTCTGCAAGAATAGTATGTTAGTCAGGCATGCATCAAAAACATTGGTGCACGTAAATAGGTACCTTAGGCACAACCGACAAGACACCCCACGCTGCCTTCGTGTACGGATGGATCTGTGCTGCGTGATTCCTGCCACAATTGCTGCGAGGTGAGAATTCCGTACCTCGGCAATCTTGGCAACAATGTCATTGAACTTGGAAACTGTTCCAAGTAACGGAGTGACGTAGTCGACTGCAGCAATCGGGTCTCCTGTATCGTTGATACTCGATGCCACAGCTTGCACAGGCCCAAAAATAGGTTTTAGCCCGGCAACCTCCTGTCTAGCAAGTAGGCGAGCCGCATCTACCCCTTCTGAATCAGGCTTGCTATCTGCATGGATTGCGGAGTCCTGGTTATAGCATGTTAGGTGTGATGGACAGGTTAAAGAACTTATGGCACGCACATTTGGTTCAACAAAATGGGTCGTTACCTTGTCCGAGTCAGGCATGTTAGTCACCTTGGTGTCAGAGTTCTGATGATAGTGTATTATGTGTTACGAACAGGGAAAATAATGATTTTATGATACGCACATTCAATTCGGCGCTGTGGACCGCCTGGCCTTCATTCATGGACTTGTCTGCCTCGGGAAGTTTGTTGGGATGTAGTTGAGCACGTTGTTCTGAGGTGGACATCTGCATGGCGATGAATCGGGTGAATACAAAGCATCGCTCAAGTACCGCCCACTCACATTACGATTCCCATCAGGAGGGGGGTCTTTGAGCGATACATTAGGATGGTTAGCGCTCGTGTCCTGAAGCTCGTTGGCTCCCTCTTTGGTTGCCGTGAGCTGCGCAGAGTTCTGCATTTGACAGGTTTTAAGAATATTTTCATTTACGAATGACCTTACACACCTCTGTTGCCTCTGCCGAGGGAGAATTCTGTTGTGAGGGTTTGGGTTGTCCGGCACGTCGAGTGACAAGATCTTTGGCCTTGCTGCTAAATGAGGCGAAATGTCCTCCGCGGGATTGACCGGGCGATGAAGGATCAGACTGCAGATATATCAGATGCGAAGGCAAAGCAATGGAAACAAGCGAACCCCGGAAGCCTCTGAACGAGTTTTCCCGAAAAAAGAAAAACGCTTCTTGCGACTGGGATTGCCTTGGGCCATGATCCGTTAATCATTCAATGGAATGACCTATGGGTCCCACGTAAATCTCTGACCAAGGTCCCAAGTGTGTGGGCTGGCTGGTGCATACCTGTAGTTATGATGTGGCGTGCCAGCAATCCACGTTTCGATGTTCACACCTTTGGGTTAAAGGTAAAGTGTGATTAATGCCAGTGGTCAATGGTCATGTAAAGGATTCGGAGCTACGTACCTCTATTAACAATGCGACCCTGCAGTAATTGACAGCTTGCAGAACAGAACAGCAGTATGAGGGTTCGACTTGATGTTCAGCGTTTAAAACAACGGTTCAGGTCTTCAAGCTTCAGGTCTGTAGGCCGCAGGGCGTCTATGATGGCACGTGCGTCGTACAGGCATCATCACAGCGGCTTAACAAGGTGACGCAACACTTCACAGCATCTAAAAACCATCACTAGATTACCTCGGAGACAATACAGGAGGCACACCACAATTGAACATCCCCGAGCTGTTGTAAATGTCGTGAGAGGTGCACACTGGATGGACGTTCGAATATTCATCAACAATGAGTGTTCAAAGTGTCTAGAATTCAACATATTTTAACATGATCTATATGCGCTATAGTGTTAATTTTGTGCCTGGACCCGCTTATTGCCGTGTCACGTGAAAGAATCAGGAACTTCGACAGAATCGACACCGCCATCTGCCCAGCTGCCACTGGCAGTGGTCAGATTCTGGACGGGCACAAAGACTTGTCTATGCGATTTCATTATCTCGAATCCTTGAAATCACATCATACGATGATACTGCAGCAGTACGACTACATATGGATCCTCAAAAAAATAAGGCCATTGGACTACCCCTCCTGCTCCACCGTGACCTCTCTGCTATCATCAAAGACGACGCCCATCGGATTTCTTCAAGGAACTTGCTCACTGATATTTGTTCAATTCACAAAAAGCTGTCGACAGATAGAGACTATATGTTATATATTGTTTTTTATTCATTCCATTGCCTTCGAACATCTACGCTATAGCGGCCAGGTTAATGTTACACGGCAACTAGCTCCCGAAATCAAAGGGGCTCATCGACTGCCACACAGATTTTTTCCAACGAGTGAGAGATGCTGTACGTGATCTCCAAATATGAATTGAACAGCTCATCTGACCAATATGTTATTAGTTGTCTAAATCGCCTGCAGCTGCTCACCTATCCAAATCGTATGAGCGACATGATCATCGCACCTCAATACAATGTCAACGCACCCTCCTTCGTCGCTTTCCCTCCTGCTTTCGCCACCGCTCCCATCCACCCGGGGCAACTAAGCACAACACCCCATCCAGATCCTACTTCATTAAAGCTAAAGACTTCTTCTCCGGCATGCTAAGTGGCCGCAGCGGCTCGCCAATCTCTGCATCCCATAAGCGAAAGGTCTTATTACCCGACCCCACATTGTATTTACCCACATGGTGGCCAGTTTGGCTCTGTCTTCATGGGCAATTACAAATTATAATTTCGAGTGTTGTCAATGAGTGCTCCGCAAAGGGGAAGATCTTCCAAGTAGCTTGAAAGCTCAGACGTCATGACACAACTGAAGCGAGGGGCAGCACGAATGTCTTGCGGTTTTTCCTTTCCATCGTTCCATCCAGTACTTGCAGAGCAAGGTGGAAGAACATGTAAGATAGGTATTATTGCCATCCTCGAGAGAAGCATTGATACACGTGAGACATGACCAGGCAAGTAAGTATTCAGCAGCGTATGAACGGGAACACCTGTGGCACGTCGTGTCTAACCGTTTTAACTGGAGAAGCAGAAAAAGACATAAAAATGAAAATATCTCACAAAAGATGGAAACATTCAGCATGAGGTTGCCTTAGAAAGAGGCAGGTCATAAAGGAGGCCACAAAGGCGATTGGTCATAGCTTAAGCTCAGTAAGAACTCTCCGCGCGAGCATCTGGTATTGCCAGCCATCGCCACCAGCCCTTCGGAACTGTATGCCGTGGAGTGGCAACCAAGGAACCTAGAGAAAAGACTGTCAGATGTCTCAAACGATGACGGGGAGGAAGCTCATACCTTAATAATGTTAATTTCGAAACGAACTGACAGTGAACTAGCACCGATAGATTCGAAGATTTCACGATCGACTTCACCGGTAGGGAAGGGTGCCGGTGCTGGCCGCGGAGCGTGCGGCTGTGGCGTAGCAGTAAAGTCGCGGGGTATAGGTGGTAGGACCTTGCCTTTGACCGGCGTTTGCGAGCCGAATGGATCACGACGTTCCTCATGAGGTGTCCCCGGCGCAGGTGTGTTGGCTTCTTGTTGCCGGGAACTGTCTGCCACAATGGTGTGGGTGTTCGAGGAGACATTGAAGAATGAAGATGATCCGCTGCTGGGGGTGGCGCTTAATGCAGTCCCAATCGATGGTCTGTGAGGAAGCTCTTTCTCCAAGGGAGCCTCGTGCTCTTTTTCCTTCATGCTCTCTCTTTCCCGCTCCTTAGACTTCATACCGAAAGACATCTTCGACGCTTTCTTGACAAGCGATCGAGGCGTAATTCCAGTCTCGTTGGAGCCATTAGAACCAGTCCTGCGGTGATGACTAGAACGCCCTTGGACCTGAGTTGGTTCGGGGACAGACGAAATGTCAATGGAGGGTACATGAATGCACTCAAAGCCACCCCGAGTCTCCCGATATTGAACCTGCATTCGGTCCAGAACCTTCTTGATATCAGCCTTGAGCACTGATGGAGGTTTTGTAGAAGTGGTTGCAACACTGTTGCGCATCTCAGCACTGTCCAAATAAATACGGGACTCGTACTCACCTGAACAGCCCCTTAAGATGCACAGGCTTGAATTCCTTATCACTGTGGTGTCCACTCTGCTCATCCCTGAAGCCCTCGTCCTGATCAGCTGCTTCCTGCTCAACATTCTCCTCCACCTTTTCAGTTCCAAAGCCACTCAAGCCAGTTGGACGTCCACTGCTCGCCCCATAACCGGTCGATGGCCGACGGTGTCGTCCAATGGTGCCACCAATACTAGGCAACAAAGCTCCACCAGTGCTACTCCGGCGCTCGTGCCGTATTTGACGACCTTGGGGATCAAGGATCGTGGCAGCCCGCCTGTGCACATTCCCAAGAGGCTGGCTCTGGCTAGCAGTAATAGGCTGAGGCGCAACGATGGAGGATCTGCGCACATCAGCATCTGCGCCCCGCTTCCAAGACGCTTCCGAAGCCTTCTCGCCATCATCTCCCGAGGATCGCAATGGCACACCGCCCAACATCGTCGTCCGCTTACCAACACTCCGTTTATGATCATCGCCCTTCCCAACCAGAAGCGTGCCGAACCTGCGCACAAGCGTCGCGCCAGCGGACAACGGACCTTCGTGTGTGTGTGCACGGTCCTCCTCGGACAGAACCTTATCCTGCTCCGCAAACTCACCCTCCAGACCAGCCGAATGGGAGACCTGCTCCTCGCCGTGCTCCTCTACACGATTTTCACCACTAACAAACACTCCACCCCATCCACGGAGTGCAGTTGGTCGCTGGCTCATGCTGTGGCTGCGGCGATGAGTGGATGCAGGTGGAGCACGCGGAAGTGATGTCGCCGGCCCTGGTGTTGGTGTGGACGGCTGGGGAATATCGATGCGCTTCGTAGCAGGTGGAGGCAGCCCTGAGTCACGCGCTCTCACTTGTCCATGGAATGCAGCAGAAGTCGGTGAGGCCGCTGCGGATGCTGCATCATATGACATGTCGGAGTAGTGGGACGTCTCAGGCGCAGGAAGGCGCGGGAGTGGCATGCTGTAGTCTGCTTTAGCAGATGCAGAGGTGGTGAGCGGCTGTGGCTCCTTCTTGACAGGAGCAGGTTGAGTGAAGGTCTTAGCCGGGTAGGGAGGTGGTGCAGAAGCATCGGCGGCAGATGTATTAGCCGCGGTAGCCGATTGAAGGGAAAGCTGAGAGCTAGCAAAGCGCCCGGGGCCATAGACGCGTTCGCGCTCCAATTTCTCGCGGGATAAGTAATACATCGTGACTAGTGGATGGAATCCCTGCGTTGGGTCGAGGGGGTCACGTGCGCCATCGCCGATGGACAAAAGCGACTGGGAGGTGGGGGGCGAGTGAGAAGGGGTGGTGGGTGGCGATGAGGAAGGAGAGAACAGCTTCCGGCGATAAAAGTCGAATCCGGAGAAACGCTTCGACTTTTTCGAAGGGCTCATCGTAGACTCATTCTTGTGTGTATTCGTGGCCGATCCATCGAAGGATATAGCGAGGGAAGAGTTAGAGAACTCGAAACGGTGATTAGCGCCATTGCGACCACCGCGCTTGCGGTCCCATGCTTGGACCGCGCGGGTATAAGCATCAGATTCGAGCACTTTTCTGAGGTTTCGTTCGATCTCCTCCTCGGTCCCAAATTCGAAGCCTCTCATGCCTCTCATGACTTGCTTATCAAGGTCATCAGGTCGGAGCGGGTCCCGGTGTACCATATGTGTGTCAGGGGGGCCACTAAAGCCGCGAGTCATCCATGGATGCTCAAGTACCTCGGTAAGCGAGGCACGCACAGCGGGGTTAGTGACAAGCATTCGGGAGAGCAAGTGCTTGCATTCTGGATAATTGATCAGCGAGGAACATGCCTCATAACATGACTAGACGCACCTGCGCTTAGCCACACAGGATACTCAACCAATCCGCGCTTAATTTTAGCATGCAGTGCGGGCATGCTCTGATCGTCGAAAGGTACTTTGCCGCAGACGAGCACATACAAGACAACTCCAAAACTCCACACATCAACCTCTGGTCCTATGTAGACCTTCGCGTTAAGGAGCTCGGGAGCTGCAAAGTATAGGGAACCACAAAAGGTCGACAGAGTGGTGGAAGGGTCGTAGAGATTGGACAGGCCAAAGTCGATGATCTTGATGTTTCCTGTCTCAGAAATAAGGATGTTCTCGATTTTGAGATCTGCGGGATGGACAATGAGAATGTGAGACAATCCAGGTACAGCAACACACACCTCGGTGGACCACATTGTTCCGATGGCAGTAATCTAGCGCACTTCCTATCTGACGAGCGAACTTGCGAGCGACACGTTCCCGCAAGCGACCATGACTGATAATGTAATCGAGCATCTGACCACCGTTTACATATTCGAAGACCATGTAGTAATGGTGTTGATGGACGATCATCTCACGCATGCCGCAGATGTACGGGTGATGGAGAAGCATGGAGAGGGCAGCCTCACGGATAGTGCGTATTTCTTTCGAAGCATCTTTTGAAGCCTGCTTTGCGACTGCTTCTGGAGTCGCATTTGAACCATTTGGCGGGACAGCCTGAGGATACACTCGGGGGAGGATTTTGACGGCGAGCTGCGAACAATAACCAGGGTGTTCGGACGATACTTCATGTTTGATATGAACGCAGCACGCACCTTCTCTTCTGTGACATTGTGAATAGCCAACTTGACCTTCCCCATGCTGCCAGCTCCAAGTGTCTTGGTCAAGGTGTAGTCACCAAGGATGCGGTTTGAACTTCGACCCTGTTTGCTAGTTGAACCATCTCTGATCTGGCGGTGTTTTGAGTCTGTAGTCGACTGTCTTTCGCGGTCTGAAGAACTTGTTGGAGTTGTGGTACTGAATGCCTGTGGAGGCATTGAAACTGGGCGGGGCCTGTGCGACGTGGCCTGCGGCCTTGGGGAGGGTAGAGGGCGTGGAATAGCAGTGTTTTGAGTCGTTGTGGCCGTCGTGAAGGTTGTTGTCGCTGTTGTTGACGGTTTCAAAGTATGTGACCTTGCTGGTGGAGGAGATGAAAGAAGCTGTGGCTGATGAGCCGAGGGTGGTTGCGTGATGGCCATATCAAACTCATAACCCCCTACGTGCGACGGCGTATTCATTCCAGATTCTTCAGGCACTTGACCAAGTGGGGCTGCTATCGACGACGGGTAGAATGCTGCCATGGATGCCCACAACGTCAACCAATGACTTTCAAAGGCGGTGCTCACGATTCAGGCTAGTTAGTAAAACTGCCTCCATCAACGTTTTACCAAAAAATCACTGAGTCAGGGCGGTCAAGTCTGACAGTCTATGTTCACAATTGGAGATTTGCTCCCAGTTGATAATCCAACAGATGAGGCTCCTGATTTTCTCATCTATGTCTCATCTCACTTGAATTCTACTGCCAAGAATCCCCTGAGTTTCTGCTGCGACAACTCGGGTTCCGGGCGGAAACGATCGCGTTTCCTTCTTCCTCATTCAGAACCCAAAACGTGGACCTTTCTGCCTCACGCTTCCAACTCAGAGGTAGCGATGCCAACTGCAAGGCACTGCCCCGAACACGCGCACGAATCCATGTGAGCAAATTTGCTGTGTACAAGCTTACCTAGTGCTCTCAGGCTGTCGAAGCGCACACAAATAGCATATTTATAAGACTCACTCTTCCGTCCGCCGCAAGAGGTAAGGATATCAAAATAAACACCGAATATTACTTCTGACTGTGTTCTTGTACAGATAACCATTTCACTGGATGCCGATTGAACATGGGCCAAGGAGGCAGGACAACCTATAGTAAATGTCTGAATCGGCCAGGTACATCAAAGTTTCGTGAAACAAACTCACCAGACACAGCGCCACATTACAGAGTGCGAACGTACTCATTGTCATCATGAGAGAGCTGAAGGCAAACCCAATCACAAAAGATAAAAACTGCCAGAGGTGGTCTAGTTGGCTACAACGCAGCAGCAGCGAAGGGCACGTACTGTGCTAGCGATGAGTATCACGCGAACAATATCATCCGACGTCTTCTGCCCTTTGAAGTCCTGAATCGTCATATGGTCAGCTCTATTCCAATGAACCAAATAAGCACACCCGCTATTCTGCCTTCCGCTAGCTCCTGTATGGTCATGGCTGTTGAGTCTACCTTGCGTATGGCTGTCAGCAATTGAAGTGACACGACATGCGTGGGAATACTTTCCCTATCTCGACAAGATGACCCGGCGGGCCGCACGTACGTACTTAGGTCCGTCCTCCATGTGCCAGGCCCATGATCGATCTGATAATGCAGGTAAAACTTTCACGCAAAGTTTTATGCCAGCGCTAACGGAGTAGCACCCCAAGCTTGAAGATCTACCCGCCCCTGCACTACCAGGGAACTTGAAATTCGTTTACCGTGACAAAAGCATGTTCATGCAGCTTCTGATCTAGGACCTACCTGGTACAACTGAGGAAGCCGTTCAGAACCCCTGAGGTATGGCCCTAATGAATTGCGTCCTTTACCAAACCCTCTTTAACACGGAGTACCTTAAACGCCGCTCGGCCTTGCCCCACTGTCGGCACCGACCCGCATCACGCGGTATGATGACATAGCGAGTATCACCAATCACTATGAAGTTCGAATTACCTGGTAAATCAATCATTGGTGATGACTAGTGCCAAACTGTTGAACTCCCACCACCGCCTATTCGGGTGATTTTTAACACCTCGCAAGCCAATGTATTCGCCATTCGTCCTGCAGTTGCTACCACCTGTTCTGGATGGAAAAAATAACACTTTGAGCAGCAAGTATGCTTTTATAGATACATGGGGCACAACTAGTCTACTGTAACACATAACTGGTACTTCATCCGAACACGGATCGTCGTCTATTTGATATCTTACCAACACCGAAAATAAAAGAGAGCCCACGACAATTAATCAGCCTTGGGCGAAAAAAATCATGTCCCTTTTTCATTGAGTGACTCCGGGTCACTTTGGTGCAACTTCAAAGTATCATTGTCTGATTGTATTGCGTCCTCGGTTGCACGTGTTTTTTTGCCGATGATACCCAGGCCTCTCAACCCCAAAATGACGATGACAATGCCTAAAAGCGTCGATGCAAAGCAAGTCCACCCAGCCGCTCGGAAACCGACCATCAAGACTTCTGGTGACTGCGCATCGAGGTCCGGATGCTTGTTGTTGTATGCTTTGGACACAGAGTCCGCTATCTCAGACGTCACCGCAAGTCCGAGCGCTGTAGCAAGCTGTTCACAAAACGGCTCAGCGAGATAAAACGAGGGTGATAAGTCTCGTACTCTTGTGGTGACGCTGAAAATGCCACCCGCAAGGGATTGTGAATCTTCATCAAATGATACAGTGATTTGCTGGTTCCCTAATGAATACACGATATCCACCCCAACTGCAATAATGTTAGCCTCTCTTCACTGAAAAAGGAAATGACGCACCAATGGTAATCATCATAAAAAATCCCATGTGCCAGAAGCCGATATCAGGGTTGATGAGAGCATAGATCACGCTTGCCGCCTTCCCAGGATTGAACATTTATTATCAGTTGAAGTTGAGTAACCTACCGTACTAACGAGCAAACCAATCAACATTAAGATGTGCGCAGGCACGCTTGCAACAAAATATCCCGCTGCAACGCTAGGAATCACCCCAGCGATAGCCATGGGAATGAACCGAAGAGAAGTTTGCAAGGGATCCAGCAGTTGTACCTGTTGGTAGCTGAAGACCATCAGCGGTTTACACAGATTGATTGACTAAAAAATAGATCATACTATAGTGTGAAGAAATAACTCAGAGTATCGAAGCTAAACCTGCAGGGCATATGAGCGAGTGAGAGACTGATCTCTCGGAAATACACGAACCAACCAAAGAATACCACACCAATGAGGGGACCCAATTTTGCTCCAGGCTGTCTCCATATGCTCAGAGGCATGAGAACAGACATGTTTCTGGATTCCCTCCAGCGCTCGAAGAAGACAAACGTGACCAGCAAGACGATTGACACGAGGAATAGGCTAAGGACTTGGGGAGCCAACCAACCCTTTTGAGTTGTTGTGGAGTCGCTCGAATTCAGTTCAGTAATACTCGCTACGAAATGGATGATGTCTCCTTACGAGAGGCTGAATACAAGAAGGCCAAGGCCGGCTGTGCTCAGTACAGCGCCGACCCAGTCTAAACCTTTGACATAACGCTGATTCGAGTGATCTTTTGGAATGACTACGAGAGCAAGGCAAACGAAGAAAAGAGCAAGACCGGCTTGAATGCAGAACAAGGACCGCCATGTGGCGCGACTTTCAGTCAAAAGACCACCTTCAAGGTTTGATAAGTTCCCCATCGGAAATGTCGCCATGTGTGACTTACTAGCAATGAGGCCTAGAATAAATCCCACAGGCGAACCAACACCCAGTGCGCTGAAGGCCTTGTTCCTGTTTGCTCCTGGTGGAAAGTATGACGAACATAATCCAATCGCAGCAGGAGTGTTGGCAGCTGATCCTATTCCCAAGAGCGCCATGTCTACAATGAAAATACTTGAATTTGGAACGAAGGCCGTTGCAAGACTCCTGGTATGATTTTCTTGAACGAACAATCCGAACATTTAAATTTGGCAACTGACCAAATCGCGAACCATAGAGACCCAATGACAAACATGAGGCGGCCTCCAAATATGTCCCCCAGTCTTCCGCAGAATAAAAGCAAGCCACCGTACGACAAACTATTTGAGACTGTTAGTGCCTAGTGAGTTGTATCACAATAATTGTAGAGACGTACGAATTCACATTGATCGGCCAGTAAAGGTCACCCTAGATGCATACACACCTATTCTGTCATAGAGTGGGATGTGCTGAATACCAAGCGTACCTCTTGGAAATCAAGGTCTTTTCCAATAGTGGGGAGTGCAACTGTGACTGCGCCGACGAGGAAAACCTTGATTCCCATCGAGTTTTGTCATGAGCTATTGACATTCCAGAACAACGTGGCTTACATTCAAAGTCGTGACACCACAAAGGGCAGTGATAAATGCAATATCCCGGAAACTCAAGCCCATGATCTGGCACTTCAAGTCAAATTGTGGTGGACGAGTGTGGAATCAAGTTGATTTTCTTTAGGCGTTACACCAGCATGTAAATATCTATGCAGGATGTGAAGGTATGTCAGCCTTTAGTGTCGGCCTTTAGTCAGTCGGAATATCCTACTTGCCTTCTGAAACTTCATCGATTGATAATGGCCCTACTACGACACCATAAGGAGCTTGCCGTCGCCGTAATCTGCAAAGGTAAATTGTTCTAAACCACGTAACAGCACACGGCCGCACCTGTCCCCCAATTTCTGTTTGAATCACCTTCCTTGAAAGACTACAAATAGTCTCGCGTAGTGACTGACCCATGCCTTGGGGGAATCCGCCATACACCACGGCCAAATGGCCCTGGCTGCTGTTCTTTTTGACTGACATTGTTACATGGACCACACGATATGAATGATAGTCAGCTCCTGGCCATGACAACTTATCATCGGTGCGTTGGTACCTCCTTCCCCGGTCATTCCTTCTCCAAGCATGACTTGCCGATTTCAGTAACTGCCGTTCTAGGCCGCTAGTAAGTTGAATGAATGACCTCCCTTCGAATACCCATACGGGTGCGAAACATGGAATGCAGATCGCCGTGCTGTGCAGGCGGTGGGGTTATGCTTTGCTTCGTCCATTTACCTGACAAACATTGATGAGTCACCCTCCATGGATTCTTCCGCGGCACCTACCAAATCATTCTTACTTACCCGTTTTAACTCGTGGGTTTTTTGACTCGTGCTTCGAGGTGGGTCCTGGTGCGAGCGCGCAGGGCAGTAAGACTCGCTGCGTAATACAAACCCAGTATTCGCATCATAAGCTATTCCAAATGGAAGGCAGGATGTAGTAATACCAACAATAGCATCCATGCCATGATTGAAGAGCGGATCCTTCAGAGTTAGTGTCGTTCGTTCAGGTGATGGCTCATTCGCTGCAGGCGGGTCTGCAAAATTGCAAATCATGCTAGAAGCGGGGATTGCAATAATAAGCAATAAAAGTTGTTTCTGTTCCGTTGGGTTTCTTCAAGAGGAAGCAATCATCGACGATGACTAATTTTCTAGGATCACCGGATCAACCCGAATGATGAAGTTCCCCGCCCATTCCTAAAGGGTCTGTGACATCAATGTTGCGTTTGAAACTGCAGACTATAGGCGATACTGTGGCTTTTCAAAACTCAGCCTCACTACCTTTTCCGCCAGTTTTAAGTTATACTTGCAGTGTCATGTGCACCACGCTGCTACATCGAGTCCCATTCCCGTCGGCAGCGCATCAATCCACGATTTCATGCTGTGTCGGGACGTTTTAATGCCAGTAAGTATTTCGGCTCGCCCGCTCGGTTTCGGGTTCTACATATTCTCTATATCATCTTGTGAGTTGCTCATACGTTGTCGACGTCACATACTTACTTGCACACTGACTACTGTCCCCACTAGCCGCGGGTACAGAGTCATCGATTGTCAGGCCCCAAGAAGGGGACACGCCATATGGTCCGCCCGACGGCGACTTATAGCAACACCGAATGAGCATTTGCCTGCTTTGTCGAATGACCCTTCGGACTTCAACAGCACTTGCAGCAGCCTAAGTATCTGCACCAAGACCTATTCCAGGGAAAACAAGACGTAGTCCTCGTCCTGATATGAGTGATTGGCGTTTCTTTGTTCAGGTGATGCTATTTCGCTGGAGTGGTGGCACTTAGTACATACGAGATACGAGCAGAGCCTTGCTTACCGACGAACCTTCGGAAAGACCAATACTCTGTCAGTCGTCTGGATCGGACCCAGTACAATTTTTGATTCATTTTCACCTGCCATGCGCCTGGTTTTAAGTAGCTCTAAGCTCAGTACTACATACATAGTAGCCACTTCGGCTAATCTGCGTCTGCGAAGCCACCTGTCCGATAACGCGGACATCTTGGCAATGATAAGCCTGTCTGACCGGTGACAGATAATTTGATCAAGGCACACGATATATACCGGTATCATGCATTTGGCGTCAACGGTAGAACCATAGTGCTGCGGCCACCCTCCAACTTGAACTGCAACAGACCTCCTCCGAAGCTGGATTGCGCAGTTCGCTCATCATGTCTGACCACTCTGAAACGCTGGAGAAGGCAGAAATCGCAAAGCCCGAGCTGACCGATAATGGGGCGGACTCGGACGAGTTTGAGCTGGCGAGAATGGGATACAAACAAGAGTTGAAGTGAGTGTGTCGCTCGCTCTCACGACCAAAATACTGAATATTTAATATTAACTTATATAAGACGCGAACTGGGACTCCTTCAGGTACTTCGACCAAATTCAATCCATTTGCAAACAACTCACGAACTGGTTGCCTCCAGAATTTCGGTGTCTCGTTTTCGATCATCAGCGTCATAACAGGCATCCCTTCTTTGTTCTTGTATGGTTTGGTGTGTCACATACAGTACCCTTCATCCTTTCCAATGAGAGTAAATGTGGAACGTGTATACAGAATACAGGAGGCCCGGCGGTCATGGTATGGGGCTGGGTGATTGTTGCATGTGCCACGATGCTTGTAGGACTTGCTATGGCAGGTGAGTCGGTGTCACAGTAACTGGTGTATGACATTAACCAGGCTGATCTTTGTGAAGAGGTCTGTAGTGCGCATCCTACCAGTGGTGGTCCCTACTACTGGGCTGCTATGTTGTCTGAACCGGGCAACGCTCCACTTGCATCTTGGATCACCGGCTGGTTTAACTTGTTGGGCCAAGTTGCAGTCACGACAGGGATAAGGTACATAAGTCGTAGCATTTCTGTTGAAAATGATGACTTTGTTGATGTTCTTCTAGCTTTGGTTGCGCGAATTTCCTTTCCACCGTGTGTACGTTTAACACATCATTCATACCAACCTCGAGGACTACCATGGGTGTCTATGCCGCAATTTTGGTTAGCCAAGGTCTAATCAATACATTCGGCGTCCACCTCCTAAAGTACCTCAACAATATCTCAGTTTGGTGGCATGCTGCTGGAACCACGTCCTTGGTCATAGCCATACTTGCTCGCGCTCCATCGCATCAGTCGGCTGAGTTCGTGTTCAGCACGTTCATTGACAATACAGGAGTTTCTGGCAGTGAGGGGTGGGGTACTAGGGCAAGCCATGCATATGTTTGTGTCATCGGCATACTCATGGCTCAGTACACACTGACTGGTAAGCTCGATGACCATCGCTTGTCTCAGTCATTGAACTTGCTATCAAAGGTTTCGACGCTAGTGCTCATGTAAGATATTGTTCCAATAAATTCAAATTTCAAGTCACACCTGAAGCATGTAGATGACTGAAGAAACCCACAATGCTGCTATGGCAGGATCGATTGGTATTGTAATGGCTATAGGAGTGTCAGCTGTCCTTGGGTGGTTCCTCATTCTCGGGCTATTGTTTAGCATCCAAGATTTGGATAATACCGTCGCCTCCTCCACCGGACAGCCAGTCGCTCAGATTTTTTTAGATACTGTCGGGAACCGTGGAGCAATTGTTCTCATGGTCATAGTTATCGGAGCGATGTATTTCTGCGGGTAAAACACATATGAAACCTTCCGTGGGTGACACCTGACAGTTTCTCTTATCTGCAGTACTTTTTCGATCACTTCCAATTCTCGCATGATGTTTGCGTTTGCTCGCGACGGGGGCATACCAGGACATGAATTCTTTCGCAAGGTGGACTCGAAGCGTGGTACCCCTGTCAGAACAGGTTTGTGTTTCTGTTGTGTATTATATATTTCTCTTATCTAAAATGTGTCTACTTTTCCAGTATGGCTTGCGTGCCTCCTCAGCTTCATATTGGGCCTTCCCAGTCTTGGGAGTGCTGTCGCATTCTCTGCTGCGACTAGCATCGCAACAATTGGATTGTATATATCCTACGGCAAGTGGCTCGTCCTTTGAAGTGATTATCTCAGGTCTGATCTGACCATTGATGCCAGCTATACCCATCGCTCTTCGCGTAGTTTACCGAAAGCGTTTCGTGCGAGGTCCATTCCACCTCGGCGCCTTTTCGATACCCATTGCCGTCGCGGCAGTTACATGGATTGCGTTCATCGCTATTGTATTCCTTCTTCCTCAAGCCAATGTATGTTCTACTATTCACAAGTTGTTGTTCCAACTTTTGTTCTGACTGTCGTATCAGCCCGTCGACTCTCAGACGCTGAATTATGCCGCGGTTGCTGTCGGAATTGTGATCATATACAGCGTTGGATTTTGGATACTTAGTGCTCGCAAGTGGTTCGGCGGTCCTGTCAGCCAGATACATGGTAAGTCCTCACCCGGTACGTTTCTTGAAAAAATATCTCACTATTACAAGTCGAATAAATAGGTGTAGTTACATAACAGCAAGTGCTAGTAGTCCCAAGATATTTCAAGCGCCTCCGACTGACTTTCCCTTACTCGCGAACACTGTTAGTCCAAGGGCGGTACTAATGTACACAAGCCATTCTCTGCCTCCCTCTTCAGTTACCGTCGACTGGAACGAACTGCCAAGCCTGGTTGTCATAGAAGCTGACGGGAGGGGAGAGGATGATCTGCGCTCTTGAGTACGTACAATTTATCCCGTTTATCAGATGACCTACCTGGGTGAAGTTGTCTCCGTCAGGCAGCTGCCAGACGAGCTCAGAATTGCTTGTCTGAATCCTGAGAGTGTTATTTGAGCCAAAAGACACGTGATAGAGAAACGGTACTCACTCATATTCTCCTATTTTCCTCTCGTGGAGTTTGAAAGTGGTTTCAATGGAGGTTCCTATGATCCCAGAGCCCTTCGTTCCCTGGTTGTTTAACACCAACTCACTAAGTCGTTGGATGCACTCACATTGATTTCACCAGAAACTCCAGCGTAATCGTTGCCCGCGAGGTTGACCAACTGCACCAGACCTTTTTCTTCATCGATAACCTGCAAGTACCACTGCAGAGTCGGGTTCAATCAGATCGACACGCATATTTATAACATCTGCACCAACCAGCATGTTCTGGGTGTCTTTGTTGTTGATGTAACCGACGACAGGAGCGCCGTCAGCAACACTGGTCCACCTCAGATCGACATCTTGGGCGGAGTATTGGATGTTGTAGATCACGTATGTACCCGGAACTGGGATGGTCATGGTTGTGATGATACTTCAGTAGGTGTAAGGGTTCGATGTGGTTCAAGAAGAGCTCGCTCCCTTGCGCCTTTTATACCTCTTTCTTGACCTACTAATCCATCAAGTTCATTTCGTCAGTCGCTTTACGAGGGGCCAGGAGAATTCCAAAGAATAGCATCGCAGGTGCCGCTTCCTCCGCGTCGCATACACCGAGAAAACCTACTGACGTTTGAATTTGTGACCAGAGAAAGAATCCCCTTCGCGAAGCAAGTATTACTTTTCCTGTGTTTGAGAAGCTTCGTATGTGTTCTGATTTAGCAGAGTCCAAGCAGTCCGCGGTCCTTACGAAGATTGAGACAAGGCACGAGAATGTATGTATTCCTATTCCCAGTCCGAGGGTGATGATGGTTTGGTGAGTGATTTTAGTCCTTGGCGTGAGTGTATGAGAGGTTTTTAATTGTTGACTGACTTGGTTAGGCTACTTCTTTGGACCGGGAGATTCGCCCGTCGAACACAAGGGCTCCTTTACCTTACGTTTTCAAGACTGTTAGGTTCATAATACAAGGCCCTTCCTCAAGTGTATGCTTTTGATCCAAAACAAGCCGTGTCGTGCCTATCTGGGCATGCAACATGAAGGTTCCATTGCGTCTTTCGCCCACTTTACGTAGGTCGACAGATTGAATGCATGTGGGCGGCACAAGGAGAACGTCTCGCGAGATGGTGGGGCGTGCGTAATCAATTAATTTGATCGGAAGGTTCAACAATAAGAGACTTGGTTTTGCGGACTGTAGACAAAGACGGTGGGAGATCAGGGAAATTTACGACCCATCCATGCTCGGATGATGTATGTCAACCTGTTCCCTAGATCTTGTATCTCGATTCACACTCTCACCTCGCAGGTCCATAGTATATGCCTGGTGGATTTGAATCGTGGTCGAGCTGGCATCCGAATGTCAATGGAAGACAACAACACTCTCCTCGGATTCTCCGCGTGGGAAATAGTATCATCACCCATTGAAGATGCGGGCACGTCAACCCACCCCATATAATTGTTTGTCTCTGAATCTGATGTTGAAGATGTGATGGTAAACGCCTGAGAACCCTTACAACCCCCCAAAGCATGCAACCCCCCGTGAACTGCACCCCATAACCCGCGGAACCTAGACCCCATGCAAGTTGGTTGTGTCGGAACGTCACCAACGGTTCAATGAAACTGGGAGGCCCTGATCACAAGTTAACGTCCGTCTTGTCCCCTTTCAAGTGGGACAATTCCAATATCGCGGTGTCGAAGGAGGTGTGCATAGTAATGCATACCCTTTCGCCACATCAGGCTTTAGGTTCATCAAAGGTCTAGGCTCCACCCTCAAATCACCGAACATTGCACAATGTGAAGTGTAGATTCTTGGCGCCCTTGGGCGACTCTCCATCGAGCTCCATCTATGAACCTCACACCCAGTATAGTCCCACTGATGCCCGGGCCTTAACTTACAAGTAAACTGTACGTAAATAATCACGACTGACGAAGAAAAAATGTTCATTAGCGAGGACTGTGCTTGTTTGTACCGGTACCTCGGGAATGCAAACCGTGACAAAGGAATCCATCTCGACCCTGTACCAGTCTCTCCATCCCCAATTTTCATTTCCCAGGTAATTTCGTGTTGGCCAATAATGGGATTTGGCACATCACCTCCTGAAAGACCATTCCGTTGCGACAGGTATGCCGCTGACATGTTCGGGAGACCAGGGTCGAATGTGCCCTGCCGAGGGTGGTAAAATGTAAAAATGCCCAACGCGTACTTGGTACTCGGAGACTTGTCCACCTCCAATTGCTGTCGAACTGTCTCTGGAAAAACGAGAGCCCGGGATTTGGTAGGAGTAGTCTGTGGAGTAACAACACTTTGAAGTCTGATATGAGAGGTCTGGGGAAGACAAGGACAGTGGAGTCTGATCGTGCCACTGGCGTTGGCGGACGCTTCGACAGGTTTCAGGGGAAGTACGAGCAATGGAACACGCAAGCCCCAGCTGGTCAATGTCATGACAAGACGGGCGCTGGGGTAGGGACGGTAACATGGAGGATAGCCCACATAACTAGCAGGTGAAGTAGGGATGGCATCAGAAGACGAGCGTGGGGAGCCAGCCCAGTTGAACGATGATGTAGATGGATCGACCCCGTGCATAATAGCTTGCATAAATCTGGTGAAAGCAAGTTCTGCTCCCTCTCCGTAGGCGACCTGCATGCTGACTTTGAATATTCCAACCAAGCAATACGCAGCATCTTCTTCACGTGTCGTTTTGCGTGTCGCTAACCCTCGTCATGCGCTGGTCCACATAATATGTACCTGGGGCCCAAGGAATCATCAACGACGATTCCAGTCGCTTCTTCGATCAGTTGCATAACAGGTGAGTGGTCAGCCTTGTCTTTGTGGAGGTCCGTCAATGGAATCCAATCTTTGTTGAAGAACTTCATCATCCGCGGGGCAATATATTCCTGGAGGGTCCATCCTCACTCCAACCATTCATCTTCTAAGATATCACTGAGGGTAATCGTCTGCGCAAGATGGACTGTGCAAATTACCCACCAGTTGGCGGTGCACTGCACACGTAGGTTGAAGTTGGCATTTTGCCTCCTGGGATGCATCGATGAACGTTTAAACCCTCCGACTTTGCAATCGCAACGAGATTGCACATCCACATTGAACATCGGTTCCGGCATCCTGCGGAGCACCCAGTTCACTGCAAAAACTTTATCCCGAAATAAGGAGCTCAAAGGATGTGCCGCATACGAAGGAGACAACTTGGGCACAATATTAGGTGAGAAAGGGGACATCACAGCACCGTCAGCGTGCTCACCCATTCGACTATCACTCGTCTGTGACGACTCCTGACGGTACGGCAATTACGTGTCTGAGTCAAGTTGAGCTTGACTTCTCTCGATATCGACGCTGCTGCCAGACCCACTGGCTGGCCCAGTGCGTGCCGTTGGCAAAGATTATCGCATAAGTGTTGGATAGAATATGCCTCGGAAGGCGGAAACTCCGCCACACAACTAGTGGCTGATTTCAGGCGTGAGGGGTTAGGAAGTCGGCTGCATCTAGTGCGCACGCAGATCTTGGGAGTCGACGAAATGAAGAGGTGATATTGCAGTAAGATGTATGCATGTGTTCGGGCGAGTTACGCGGTGATGTGTTGGAGGAACTGCTCGACAAGAGAAACAACAATATTCATGCAGACATCTAAGATAGATGGCTTTCAGCCTGATACTTGAAGCGCCGGGAAGCAGCAACTGCACTATGATGCGAGGGCATACATACTAGAAGACGTGGAGACAAGAGTCGGACGAATGTATACTGCTGAGGCAGCGGGAGGGTCTACTGTCGAAGAAAGCAAGTGTGACAATAGGGAGCTTTGATGAAGGTGTGAAAGCGAACCACCTCGTGTCTTGGGCGTCTATAGAAACGAGGCCGGTTGATTTAGTGAAGTAAGGTAAAACCGCACAATATACACACCTCTGCAGCTGAGACACAGACACTCACAAACCCTCCAAAGTCGACCTCGACCGTGCTCAACAATACCAACCTCCAGTACAATGACGAAGCTCATTCCAAGCACCACACCCCTTCGAACTTTTAAAGGTCATGAAAGAACCGTAGGCGCAGTCGCAGTTTTCCCTGATAGACGAAGAATGGTTACGTGCTCAAACGACAAGACACTGTATCTTTGGGACTTGGAGACAGGTGTTGTGTTGAAGAAGATGGAGGGGCATCGCGGTCCGGTGTATTCATTGGCGGTATCACGAGATGGGCAAATAATAGCAAGCGGTGATGGAGATGGAGAGGTCATTGCTTGGAACGGAGAAACAGGAGACTCTCTCACCGGACCCATCAAAGCCCACCCCTTCCATATCAACTCGCTGGACTTTTCCGCGGATGGTACAGTGTTGGCCACTGGTTCAGAGGACACGGTCAAGCTGTGGTGCACCAAAACATGGCAGCAGCAAGGAAATGAAATGAAATTTCAATATGGTGTCAACCGTGTTCGATATTCACCATCTGGTGAACTTCTGGCCATCGCAACAACTATTGGCATTATCGAAATTTATAATTCAGGCACAAGGAACGAAATTTATAAATCAAGCACCAGGAAGCGGGTCGGAAGCTTGAGCGGTTACTTATACGCCTCCTCAATCGCGTGGACGCCCGATGGCACACGCCTTCTTTCTGTCGCAGATAAAGCCATAGAAGAGTGGGATACATCAACGTGGGAGCAGGTCGGTGATCCCTGGGAGGGCCATACTGAGAGTATCTTCGCCATCGCCGTCAATCCTGCTGGCACTCTCGTCGCTTCCGTATCTCAAGACCACCATGTCCGTCTCTGGCAGCTCTCAGATCGACAAACCATTGCCATCTTCAAGCACTCATCTATCCAGACATGTATTACGTTCTCCGTAGATGGCAATTACATCCTCAGCGGCGGAGGTGCAGATAATCAGATCTCGGAGTGGGACGCACGCAAGAGTTTTCATTCAAGCGTGAGTTTCCGTCCTTGACTCATGTCACGCAATTTGATCAGGCTTCACGCAGATCCTCACTGCTGTCACGGCAGACCGTCACGGTGGTTCATCCATCACTGGAGACTTGTCGACTGCTGAACAACTGCTCACGCAAGAGATTGACGCCGACGCCAATAACTATGCCTCGTATGCCGATCGCTCATTCGTTATGGCGCGACAACAAGACTGGGACCGTGCCCTTGAGGATGCAATCAAGGTCATTCATACCGACCAATTATGGCCCTCTTACGAAAGGCTAACGTCCATCCGTGACATAGTCCATCAACATTCAGCCTTCATTAATAGGCTACATCTCGAAAGGCATTGCCCTCGGCGGAAAAGGTAATGTCCGGGACATGAGGGTAGCATTTGACGTCGCATCCATGTTCACAAACCAAGATTCGCAAACCATGCATTTCCTTCTCTTGATCAAGGTAGGTTCATTTTGTCTCACATATTCTCTGTTTCATTCCGTATTTCAGGCCATTGCCCTCTTCAATGCGGATCAACATGAAGAGGCAATGCTGCTCATCAAAGAGCTGACTGCTGCTTGTCCGAATTCCGATCTTCTGGCGTGTTATGTCGTAGAAGTAAGTGTCATACGGCTATGCTAGGGTATCAACGCTAATATTGCCATTTGAACACTAGGCATATCTACGCGTTCAGCTCGGAACCAAGGCCTTGGTTGGCGCGCGTCACGACGAAGCCGCTGACCACTTCGCCGCCGCTGTCAACTCCAGCGCTTTCCCATCGAAAATCATCCATGAACTATACGAGGACTTGATCGTGGTATGTTGGCATGGTGCATTCGATTTTTTTTTCATAACTGAGTGTTTCGTCCAGCTCTTCGGCTGGGATCTCGAGTCCTTCTGGCTCACTGCACATCAGAAACACTGTCAGGCTTTCCTTTCCGCAGGTAAAGTTGAAGAAGCCCTAGAATCACACCAACATATGATGGATGCCATCGACGAAACTGAGAAGACCAGCTGCCTCGATTGGTCCAACGGCAAGTTTTAGGTGATGACACTTGAGGCTATCGTACTCACCCGCATTTCACTCAGACTTCAAGGAACAATGTGCGCTTGCTGCTCACGATGACCGTATTCTTGGCGCATGTACTTCCTTCCTCAACCTTTTCGTTACTGACCTAAGTTATGCAGGCGGAGATTCCGGGCCAAGATCAAGATGGCTATGATGTAGAACCTGATTTCTTTCGGGGGGTGCATGGCGTGGGTGCTTCAGCGTATCCTTCATTTTTCTCTCTCATGTGATTCATTACAGCATCCTCAAACTTCCAGACCACGACCTCAACAGCGCCCCGGGCTCTTCAAGAAACTCAGGCTCGCTGTGACACAGCGCTCTCTTCCTCCTCCTGTACCTGCGCCTGCACCAGCTCCACCCACTGCCCTACCACCTGCCGCTGCCCCAACCAACTTCACAGCACATGTACGACACCTGTTCACCTGGCGATCCGATCACGCAGCACCACCCGTCGTCGAAGTTCCTTTTGCGCAGGGTCGAAAGGTGCGCTCGATCTATTTTCATCACTGTCTTGGGTGTCTCATGCATATATTTACAGCGTGTTGCTGCAGCGGGTGCTCCTGCCGATGACGATTCAGACATTATACGTGCTGAATATTCTGATGATGGTCCACAGGACCCCAATACACAACAGCCTAATACACAAGAACCCAATACGCAACAGCAACGACAACCAGTAGCAATGCAGGTAGTAGGTGCTGGGGAACATGGAGGTGGCAGGTCGTGTTTCTGCTGCTAGCGGCTTTCGTGGATGTCCTCGTGTATTTTAGTTCTATTGCTCTTTTTTGTTTTTTGCGATATATATGTGTTTGATGTAAATCGTACTATTAATCCGACTCAACGATGGCACCGCAGGGTCCCTACTACATTACCCATACCATCCTTTCTCTCGGGACAGGCCACAACTCAGTTTCATCATGTCAGTGTTCAATTTTGCGTGTACTCATTCACTACTGTATCCTTCATAACTGACGATTCCACGCTTATATACTAATTGCACGCCATCGGCCATATTCGATCGGCCTTGCCAAATCCCCTCACAAACATGAACTTGAATGATCATCTTCGCGTGTGTCCATCCTAACTAATGTTACCCCCCGCAAAATATTGATCTGGCCAAAATTCAAATGGCCGCATTCTACAACATCACTTTCACGAACTATCTTGGACGTCACCTCGCCTGCCCTGCCCTGATTCAATGATGGACATGCGTGCTCCCCAGCACACGCTGATCTCCCAAAGATCGGTTTGACTTTCTGAGGCTTTTGCGAATGACTCTACTAGTAGTGCGATGTTCAAGGACTCCCTCGTGAAGATTGATCGCCATATTGAAGCTCAGTGCGCTCGGGCTCTGGTGTAGTATAGTGTCGTCACTGGAGTTCGCGAGGCGCTGGTCACGGCTATTTACTATAGAATGGCTCTTTCTCCGATACCTCACCATGCACTGTACGGGTGGATTCAGTAGAGATGAACATATGGCTGAGAAACAACGTAAGAAACCTTACTCATCAACCACGACATTGCAGATGTATGTGTTTCAAAGTGAACTTCAGCATGTTCAAGGGTGGCCTGGAACTCCTGCTGTGGTGTTATTTACTTGTGAGGCGACGGATTCAGCATGTGAAAGGTGACTTAGTGCAATAGACC